TCAAAATAAAAATATAATAAAGCTGCCTCATTCGGATTCTTTTTCATATACATTGATATATAGCCAATCATAACATATACCAATACACAAACTAAAATCCACATGAACTTTTGCTACGGTTACAAATTACTAATTATCAGTGCATATCACAAGCCAACCTGAGCCTGGTTATAAAGGAAAAAAAAAATCTTTCAGTACAACCCTCCCAAAACACATATGCATACAGAGCATAATTAACTATCAACAAATATATTAAGTCACCTGACTGTTAGATTTCTAAGGTTAAATTATCCACATCATAATTAGAATCACAATTATGACTATTGCATATCAATTTACAAAATGATGCAAAACGTACGAACCCCACAATCATATATATCTCCTTTTCTATCATCGAATTTAGGGAATCCCACACTTTGGAATATTTTGAAGGTAACATGAATAATTAAGTTCCAACTTCTAGATACTGATAACCATGACATTAGCCCGAAAAATAATTTGATTATTATCGTCGTAATTCGTAAACGAAAGTAAGGCAAGTTAACAAAACTTGTTAAGCTTGATTATATAAAATACATGGATTGATCACAGAACTAATCCTACAATAAATAACTTCATAAATATGAAACAAAATAAATCATTCATAAAATTGCAAGAACGCACTATACATTTAATGTCTATTTTTAACATTAATATAATCATCATTAACCATAAAATAAAACTTGGCGATTGAAAACTTCAAATACTAGCAATTACTCACCAAGCTTTAACTTCAGGCCAAAAGCAAAATTATAGGTGAAATTACCAACATGATATATGCGTACCTATTGCATAAACCAAGCTAGCTCTAAAAGACTTGTATGCTCAATGATAGCATATCCACCGTCTCTTCAATCATCAAGTGCCACCGTATTTGATTTTCCACCACAATTAGTGTTTCTGATGGAACTTTCCACCCAAAATGTGTCTCTAAAGTCTTAAGGGGGTTCAAATTTTGGGGTCAATTTGGCACTATAAGTGTTCTCATCAGTCATTATCTATTCCAGCATATACTTACTTACATGTGCCCCAACAACTAATTTATTCATAAACACTATCGAATCCCACCGCCTCACTAGACACCTCCACTGGGTACATTTTAGTAAAACCAAACAAGATTAACTTGTTGAGAATAGATTGATGTATTTAAGTAGGGGTTATGATAATTAATATAAATTTAATTTATAATAACTCTTTTTAAAATATTAAAAATATTCTATAATATCCAACAACATCAGCATCGAATATTAGGCCCCACCTCGTGACGCCTGTTTGTTAAAATTATTTATCCTTGATTTGGTTTAAATTCATGGAATATCCAGTGGATAGGAAGGAGGTGCAAGGTGTTCTTTCTTGAGCCACGCGCACGATGGTGGGTTGCTTCATTAAATAGGGATAATTTTACCCTTTGACCTATAAAATTAATTTCATTTAAGGCCTTTTGACCTGTACAAAAAAAAATTCAAAATGTTCTAGGCTGACTTTAACTGATATTATGTGTCCTCTAAGGGCCTTAGATGATATTCTTTCGTATTTTTTTCATTAGACAAATTTAACTTGTTTAATTAATTGCAGGGATAATTTAATCTAATTTTTTATTTTTAAATATAATTATTATACGCAATCAACTTTTTTAATGTGTGTGAATTGATTTTTTTTTTTTTGTACATATAGAAATGAAGATCTAGTTCAATGATCAATCTAGTTTTGAGTAACTTAAGGCAAATACCTTAGAAGGCCTATATATATTTTGAGAGAGAGTATACACACACAAACACTACTGCACTTGTTAAATGTTCCTAATGCAACATATACTTTTGAGAGGGAATTCAAAGGTAAAATTAACTATCTTTCAATTAATTAAGCAAGTAACACAGACAATATCTACTTCTTTGATCTTTATTATATAGCACATCGATTATATATATATAAGGCACATGAATAGTTACTTATCATTGTTTTTCAAATTTACCCCTATTATAAATTTATTTTTATAGCTCATTTTATATTTATTTATGCACATATCTCACTTCTTATTTTAATAGGGTAAAATTCAAAAAAAAATTGATTTTAAAACATATTTAATAAATTAACTGTTATTCCTTAATTTTAATAAATAAGTTAAAAGTGTACTAGAATAAGTACAAAAGAAAAGTATGTCAACTCAAACGAGACGTAAGATGAAATTAGGAAGCATTGACCTTGATTGCTTCCAAAGATTTTTTTGACCTCATTGCTTCTAAGGATTAATGCAATTGCGTTGTAGTTAATTCCTTAAATTTTATCCAGTGCTTGGATTTTTGTTGGCAGACCCAAATGTTGATGTTAAATTTCACGATTCCAATTAATTAATTTATACCAATTAGCATTAATTCAAAGGTCTTCACATCGAAAGTTGCAACTCAACCTTCATACACGCAAGATATTACCATAAAAATTAGAAAATGTAAGAGATTTGACCAACCGTAGGGAGGCTGTTATGATTAATTTATTCTCTTAAAAAAATAAAAGTCAGTAAACCTAAAAATTAACAAACATTCAACGATTATGAAATTATCAAATTGAATATATTAAAAAATTCAAGTCTTCAACAATAATTCATCATGTAGAAATACGTAAGCGCGCGCTTGTGTATTTTACTGTTACTTATTTTCATTCCTTTTCTTTCTAATGCATATAATAGATTAGTTTATTTGTTAATTAAAGAGGTTCTAAAACAAGTTGGTTAATTTTTCTCATAAATTTTAGTACATACTTAATTCCCCACCAATTTAATATATATGTAAATTATCGTCTGTTTATCAACCAATAGTAAATTAATTAGCATGAAATTAGACATGTATACTTGCATGCAAGTGGACGAGTATTAATATTATTTGAATTGAACACAACTAGCTAGTCAGAATCTTACTTCTGATTATTATAAGCAAATAAGCCACAAGGTCGTTTTCTATTGCACTTTGAAATGTCAACACAAAATATTCAAAACATAATAATACATATGTTACATTCTTAATGGGAACACTGATATAATTATTCATTTTTTTGGGGGGCAAATTATGTATTAATTAATTACCAGTGCTGACGGTATATGTGTACGGGTATGACTTTTTTCTTGGCTGATATATTCGATGACTTTGAGAGAATGAAGCAAGACAATTATGAAACACTCAACGTATAGCTAGTTAAGACCTGGTTGCCTCGCATCAACTAAAAAGGGGAAAAACCTAGTCAAGTTTTGATACGGAAATATTCAAACCTCTTGTCTTGAGGCCAATTAAGTTCATTTCATTGAAACCGTAACTCCACTACTCGAGAAGAAATAGTTTTCGTTTTTTCGTTTTTTCGTTTTTTAATTGTCGTCTCATTCTTTTATTTTTTTTCTCTAAATATATTAATTGAATAAATAAATACACAAACATAAAGAACAAGATAAATGAACAGATGTTCGGCTACGTTTCTCGTGCAGACAACATAAATATGAAGAAACTAAGTAAATTACTTTTTGTCCATTGAAAATAATTAATGTCTTCAAATTTAATTCCGAAAGATGTAACTTTCAATTTGATTCTTTATCTATTTTTATAAATAATTTGTATATATTTTAAGCATGAAATTGAAAGTTAATAGTCTTAATGTTTAGCAAATATAATGAGGCAAAAATCATTGGAAATTTGAATTAAGAAGCTAGTTATATATCTTGCGGATATGTTAACTATATATACAATAATCTACTAAAAATTAATAAAAATCATCAAAATATTTTTTTCCACTCAGATGTGAAATTAATCATAAACTCAATAACAACAACAGCAGCAGCAGCAGCAACAATAATAATAATAATAATTCATAAAGCATGCATTAAACATATAATCCATTCATTAAAAAATATAAAGTATTTTTTAAGGGGTTAGATATTAAAAAATATAAGATATTTTTTGTATTTCAAGGTGTAATTATTATCTTGTTTTTAAAAGTGTCCCTATTGAATAATCATTTATATTTATTTTAAAGTGAAACACCCTATTACATAATGATAAATATGAAAAGATGGTGTTAGTTTAAAAATAAGTAAATATATATTTTGTCAAGAGGTAAAATTTTATTAAAAATGTCTTATGTTTTTAAATGGACGGAGTGTATTATCATTTGCCTTGCTATAAATTTTAAGATAATACATGAGATATTTAATTATGAAATCATATAAGTTTATATGGACCCTCGGGATCTCTTTTATTTTCATTATTTTTTGAATATCTCTTTTATTAAAAATGTCTTATGTTTTTAAATGGACGGAGTGTATTATCATTTGCCTTGCTATAAATTTTAAGATAATACATGAGATATTTAATTATGAAATCATATAAGTTTATATGGACCCTCGGGATCTCTTTTATTTTCATTATTTTCTGAATATATATATATATATATAGAGAGAGAGAGAGAGAGAGAGAGAGCAGCTTTTCAATAATTTGTCAACCTTATTTATTATCTGGACGTATAGTGGTTCAATATTTCATGCAAGTTGTAACAAAAGAAGATGGGGCAACCCCACAAGGTTAAATGTTACTCGACCTCATCAATAATTGAAGATGAAATATGAAAGGCGGTTCCGGTCACCGGAGGTGGCAAACAAGCTTTGACTTGGTGATGCTTTTGACTTTTGTATTGTACGAACTACGAAACTTCAAGGATGTAGCAGTACTTCTCTCCCTCCCTCCCTCTCTCTCATGATCATGTCTCAGACGTTGAAGTTGAATTCTTCTGCTTTTTATTTTTTATACCCTTGTTGACATTACAATATATTGTTTACTTTTTCCTCTGGTGCAGTTGGACATGCCTCCGAGTTGTGTCTGACATTCGTTTATTTTTATTTTAATTTTCCAATCTTGGTTAGCTATTTCGCCTTCTAAGAGTCAAATACCTCATGCAAGTTTCTCTCTATATAAAGCTTTTTGAATAACCAGAAGGAAAAAGAAAAAGAGATACAGAAAGCAGAGTTCAGAAGAAAAAAAAAAGCTCTGTATATTATTCTCGCAGCCATATGGAGTTTCCTTCAGGAAGATCTGACCATGACAGTAGAGCCAAGGAAGAGAAGAGGAGTGAATCTGTTGGTGCTGGTGATGAAGATCCTCGAAAAGAAAAGATTGATATTGAGGTATGAAGATTTATATCTGCTATATCATCCTTCAACCGCCATATACAATCAGTTTCATGATGCAGAAAATGGTCATTATGATGTTTTTGGATTGGTCTCAAAGTTCGAATAGTAATTATTAGGGTCGAGCATTCTGATTTATATGCTTTTACCGGATTTATTAATTGCTGTCTTTGGCACAAACCAAGACATACACTATAGTCTTGTTCCTTAAGTTTTATGATCGATCTTGTGATACTATCTGGTTTGTCTTGCTCACCCCATGAAGATAACAAATAGGTTAATATAATTCATAACCATTACTTTTCAGTTACTTGTTTGAGTTTTTAATTCCAAGGTGCCAGAATTAACGGATAATATGCAGTCGTCTATCCCAAATTTATGGGCACATATAACATATCGTTATTACAAGCACATGATTTTTCGCTAAAAACACATCATAGTTGTATTATTATGGGTTTTGACAGTTGTATCATTCATCAATTATCAATTACATATATATTTGTTATATATGTTATGATTTGAAAATTTTATCTTTATCATTTTTTTGATTGAAAAATAAGATACAAGTTCTGCGTAAATTAATCAAACCCGATGCATGCATAGATAGAGTTGTTGACCTATGCATGTGCTGGGGAAAACAGCAAATGAGATGTGTCTGAAATTAAATGAATACTGCATGCACATGAAAACGCCGAAAAGGATTCTCATTAATTACCTGTTTTTGGGTTTATACAAGGGAAGAGTGCTATATAAATAGATGGAAAATTAATTAATTAAAAATAATTAATCCTTCCATTTTTGTGACTAGATTTGTTGTGTTCTGATAAGTTAATTTATGCTCTTTTCCAGGCGCCACCAGTGGATACTTCTGCACCAATAATTGTATCTTCAGCCAAAAAGGAAGAGGCGAGTTTTGAAAAATTCGAATATTGTTCCTATAAAAATGATGGTATATGTATAGAATAAAATTAAAAGAAAAGAGTTGAGTCTACCGAGAAAAATTGAGATTAATTTATTCAATTTTTTTGTTATAATATTATTCTTAAATGTTATGTTCGTTTTCTTAGCAGGCTGAGAAGCTAGAATCTGCGAAAACGGAAATGGGTGAGGTGAGAGAAGAAAACCAAAGATTGAAGCAGTGTTTGGATCGAGTTCTGAAGGATTACAGAACACTGCAAATGCAATTCAAAGATATATTTCAAAAGGAAACCAAAGAATCAACTTCTGATCATGATCATAGTGATGGTCGAGAAATTATTATAACTGAGGAATATTCTGATGAGCTAGTTTCTCTGAGCCTTGGAAGAGCTATTCCCAGTAATAATGATAATCCAATTAGAAACCATGAGAAAAGCAAAGGTTTGAAGCCATTATTATTGAAGGATATTGAAGAATGCGATGAAGAGGACTTGGCTCTTGGATTGGACTGCAAATTCGAAACATCAAAGTCAGGAAGCATAACTCATGATGAGGATGAGGATAATAATAATAATTCGCCAAAGATTAATCCAAGCCATACCACTAGTTCTGAAGAGCCGCCCAAGGAAGAGGAGACCTGGCCACCAAGTAAAGCACTCAAAACAACCAGAGATACTACTACTTCTGGAGAAGACGAAGTTTCCCAACACAATCCTGCAAAGAAAGCTAGGGTTTGTGTGAGAGCAAGATGTGACGCCCAAACTGTAAGCATATTTATATCATTCTGTTCTTTCTTGTCTTTTCTTTTACTATGATGTCCAAGTGTGAGTAAGTAGACTTGGATCGACATGAAAAATCTCATATCGGACTTAATAACTAATAATATATAGTAAAATATATGCGATTTTGAATTAAGATATAATTAATCTATTTGTTTTTCCCTGATCCTTTACGTTTTGGGCAATCCTTCCCTATTCTTGACATGCTTACACCACAAGAAGCTATCATGGTCTGACAGATTTGAGTTTGTTGAAACAGATGAACGATGGATGTCAATGGAGAAAATATGGACAAAAAATCTCAAAGGGAAATCCATGCCCTAGAGCTTATTATCGTTGCACAGTTGCACCATCATGCCCAGTAAAAAAGCAGGTAAATATAATTAAACAGCCACATGAACGTACAACGCTCATTTTCCCAACGTCTCTTAAAAATTTCTGTTCCTCGCGTGTTACTGTGTGTCTGTACATATATGCATTATCGACATAAAGCTTGATGAACATGCAATTACAGGTGCAAAGATGTGCTGAGGATTTGTCCGTTTTAGTTACCACTTATGAGGGAATCCACAACCACCCTCTTCCTCTCTCAGCCACCGCCATGGCTTCCACTACTTCTGCAGCTGTTTCCATGCTTTTGTCTGGCTCTTCTTCATCAACTTCTTCAGCTCGCCCTTCATCCGCCACTTCAGCTGATCTCTATGGCCTGAACTTCTCCTTGTCAGATGGTTTCAGCAGATCAAAGCCATTATATCTCTCCAATCCTTCATTCTCTTCATTGCCTTCTCACCCAACAATCACTCTTGACCTCACCACAAATCCTGCAGCCTCCAGGTTCATGACCTCATCATCATCAAACTACAACCCAGCTCCACGATCGTCGTCGTCGTCGTCGTACCCTTCTTCTTCCACAAGTCTCAATTTTAGTTCCCCAAATAATAATAATAATTTTGTTAGCTATCACAGTAATAATAACAGGAACGTTTTCAGCTCCGTGAACCTTGGAAGGTCGACAGTGGATAGTATCTACAGTCTGCCTTTCGTGCAGAAGAACAGTGTTATCAACAGCACAACCCATCCTCCACCACCTGCTCTACCAGATACTATCGCCGCGGCAACCAAGGCCATCGCGGCGGACCCAAAGTTTCAGTCTGCTTTGGCAGTGGCGCTCAGTTCAATTATTGGCACAGGAAGTGGAATTAGAAGCAACAATAGTGGCGGTGCCGGAGAAAACTTGACTCAGCAAATGAAATGGGGAGGGCTGTTTCCAGCATTATGAGCGCTCATAATTTCGATTTAGAGTCATATATCATGAATCTTGATGAATATACATACAACAAGCACAATTGTTTTAGACTATTTTTAATTTTTTTTTTAGTCTTTGTATTTTTATTTTTATTTTTTGTTAGTGTCGTATTGTTGAGACTCGAGACCATGTCATGTATCTTCATATTCATGTTAATATTCATCTTAGAGAACAACGCGATTAATCATTCTAGTGTACATATAACTCACCTATCACATACCACACGTGCACAAAAAAATTAAGACGAATCTATTCCAACTTAATGTTTAATTCACTAAACCAATTTAATTACTTAATTACATATAAAATAATTATAGCAGTTACACACATTCACACATTGATAACTACTTTATTAAAATTACTCCAGCATTATCAATTCCATTAATTATGTACAAGTTATAAGACACGATCTCCGTCTCAAATTATGGGGTACTTTTAAAAGAGTTTTTTCGTCCTAAAATATAAGATATTTTGAGTAAATTAAGGTTTCATTAAATGCACCAATTTTAATATTATCCTTCCTCTTTCTATAATTAATTTCCATTTATTCTCTTTTTAATATATTAAATGATAGATATTTTTAAAAGTTTATATTTTTGTTTTGAAAAAATAAGGTCGTTAGGTGTATTTAATGAGATTTATTAGTATATAAGATTTTATCTAAAAATGTCTTATAATTTAGGAGAAGGGAATACAATTTATATATACATATATTGAAAATACAAAAGTCATGAAACTAATTAACTAGACACCTAGCTCGTTGTATAAAAAGATCATGACTTCAGTATCAACATGATGATATTAAAAGAACAGCCAATTCATATGGCTACTAGCTTCATTAAACATGTGGTTAAAAATGATGATCCAACTAGACTTTATTGGAATACAAGCACTCATCTGGGACTATTTTTGGTATAATTTTAGCCTCATTTTGTTTCTTTTAGTGTCATAATAGGTGTCGAGATCGGTACCATGTGACGTTATTATTATTATTATTATTTTAACTTGAATCTCATCACGTTTAAATGAAGCCAATTAATAATTATTTGCCAAATATATATTCCAAGTCCCACCAACTGTAAGCATATAGTTCTCTCGTGATTTAGATGGGTTTATTCTTGTCTGTATTTGGCACTCAGTAGCGAAGTCAAGAACTCAAAACCCCAAGGTGGAGATAGAAAATCTTAAAACTCAGACACTGGGAGTAAAATATTGAAACCTAAAAATAAATAGTTTAAAATTTTAAAGGCATGAATACAAAATACTAAAACTTAAAGTGACGGTGTGCATTTGTGCCCAACCACAATGTGGCTCCATCAAACACTTCTTGTTTGGTTTGTAAAATGGAAAGTAATGAAAAAAGAAAACATAATGATAAAATGAAATAATTTTTGCATGTGAAATGGCATTCATCATGTAATAATCATCTATGCATCTTGGTGCAGCAGGGGAAATCTTGCCTAAAAAAAAAGGGGGGGAGGTAGAGATGCTTCCAGCAGCATTATGAGCCCCACAATTTGCATGGACTCATAGCATAGCGTCACAGTGTTGAATACAAGCACTTTTTTTAGATGATATTCTAAATTAAAATATATAGATTCAGCCCAAAAAAAAAACTTAAAACATGTGGATGACATTAATGTTGAAGCACGTGGGACATGGTTGATAAAAAATATATTGATAATTAGGCGATAGGTTAACAAAGATCATATTCATTATAAAATAAATTGACCATGTCTGGATTGTTCTAGCTATATCTTTAAAATTGACCATGATAACTTTTTTAGAGAATTTCCTTATCACATCTCATCCCCATCTCAAACAAAATGGGGTTATAAGATGCAAATTCAATTTCAATTCTTTTTTTCTGATGGGACACAAGATATGATCGTTGATTGTCCAGACCTTGTCTCATGAAACACCTATCATCCACATCACTACTCAATTCAAGTAGATAGTATAATTAACTTTAGCCTTTAATTTAAAAAGAAAAAGTAACAAGGATTGATAAATTTTAATATATTTACATGATGTACTATCAATAGATTAGATATAGCGGTAGATAACAAGTTTTAATATTTCAATTATGTAATATATTTGTACAAAATTCACTATTATGATAATACATATATTAGAATATCATACAATATAAACAAGTTTTAATGTCATATGGAATATTAATTTATGTAATACTCAATATTATTTAATATTAACCAAGAACAAGAGACTTTTGCCAACAAATTCTTCCAACATGAATAATAAGCTTAATGAGTTTGCACAATGAATCATTTCTATAGAAAATAGAATGATCGTAGAAAATAATAATGAGAAGATAAAGATCATTATTCCATGTGACATTTTACTACAATGCTTAGTTGTACCTATAGAGTGTATATTTGAATCTACATATCCAAATTTTATTTGTCATCTCATGCATGATCAGTGATCAATTCTATTTTAAAGATTAAGCCATATTAGCACTTACATTGTCTATAATAGATGATGTTGATGAATATATGATATCTATGATTTCTAGAGAGGAACTGTCATATTTAAGCTAGATAGTTTGTGCAAGCAAGATGGAAATATTAATTCAATGAATTACTTGTATTCCATTGAGTTTGTAAACTCAACATCCATGTTTGGCCTCCCAAATCATGTATTGAAGCTTAAGGTTGGAGCTCCTATTATACTTCTTAAAAACATTGATAAATCTCTTGGTCATTATAATAACACGTTTTATTGTTACTGAGGCAAGAAAACATATTCTTAAAGTACAAACAATTTCAAGTTCAAATGCCAAAATAAAGGTTTACATTTCAAGAATTAATATTTCACTTTTGACTCTTGATTGTTGTTTACTTTTTTAGAAGACAATTTCTTATTTTATTGCTCTTTGCTATACCATAAACAAAAGTCAAGGTCAGAGTTTGCTCAGTGTTAGGCTATACTTACTAAAACTTGCCTTTACACACAATCAACTTACCTAACTATATGTTGTTGTGTCTCGAGTGTGAAGTAGGAAAGGGTTGAAGAAGTTTTTTTTTTTTTTTTTTGGGTTACACACAGGTGTCTTCCTACTAAAGGCAATTTTATTTGGAGTATTGTGGACATTAAACATGAGCATCTCTCTTAATAAAAATTCAAACCCTTATTTGCCGCATTGTGAGAGATAAGCTATTTGCACTAAATGTAACCCCCACTAGTGAAAGGTTGAAGATGTTAATTATTAATGTAAATAATACGTTCACAAATGTTATTGCAATTATAAATTACAAGAAAATTTTCATCAATCTAATTGATGTATAGCAACCATTCATCTGCTTTGGTATTTTTGCTTTTTCTAATTTTTATTATTCTCTATATTTATTGTAATAAATTTTTACATGCATCTTTTATTTGTGTTTAAAATTTATCTATTATGTTATCCCACGCTTTTTTATTCATTATTATTTTTAAATATTAATTATTGATCGAGTAGCAGTTATATCTTATTATTTTACTAATGTAAATACTTAATATATACTAATTATCATTATTTAACACTTGAAAAAATTTGTAAAAATAACATGTTGGACAACTCACGGATGATTACCTAGTTTATCATATATAAGCAATATCCCATGACATCTCCCTGCTCCTTGCTGATTAGTACATTTGATAATTAATAAATAATTACTCATTAATCAATATATTAGTATATCAATATAAATCAGCATCATCAATATCCCATGTATATGATAAAACTTAATCTGTCCATTCATAAGTCACATGACATGATAGAACTGATTAATTGTTTAATTCTGTCATTTTCTCAACTTTTTTCCTCCAGAATGGACTGCGAATGACCAGAAAACCTATTCAATGGCAGGAAAGAAAATTCTAAAAGTCCTTGTAAACATTGTAATCACTACTTCGTTACTTGAACATCCAAACTCCACTCCCAAGCATTCAAGCATTCCTAGGCACTGGCAGAAATATACAACTATTCCATTCAGAAGTTTTTCAAAACGTACAGACAGGGCATCTTTTATCACCGGAACAGGGGTCATGGGAATATATTGCCACCACAATCGCTGAATAAATATGCAGATAAGGGTTGAATAGTTTCTTATAATTCAATGTCGACACACATTTCATCCCCTATTGTGTAAGCTTTAGTGCCACAATAAATAGATATCCTATCGCATCAGTTGAACTCCCGAAGCTACTTGAAAAAGGGTCATTACCAGCTAAAGGAATTTTTAGACTGCTGCAATTTTGCATTGTAGGAACTTTCTATCTCCTCCTGCAATATTCATTCAGTATTGTTTACTAAAATTACAAATGGTAGCATCAAAAGCTATGCATGGCGAACATGCATAGCAATTTTGATCAACGCGTTCAAAAAAGATACCATAATCTACTAGGTGTTGTAACGCAAAAACTTTTTCTTTTTCTGTTTTTCTTTGGGGGGGGGGTTGTGGGGGGATTCCAATATGAAAACTAATCTGCTATCACCGGAGGATCCCAGCACATTCAACTATTGTATAAGCCAATGCTGTCTAGCTAAGAAAATTTTTGAACTTAACTTACAAAGACAAGTTAAAAAATGCCCCATACCTTGCAAGCTTTAAGTAGAGGCTCTAAGAATGACGTTCTGAAAAGACTGACCGCACCATCAAGTGAAGTTCTCTTCCATTCTGAAATCAAGCAAGAGCAATTTGAAAAAAAAAAAAAAAAAATTATCCTAGACGCTAAAGTTGCTCTTAATATCGAAAGGAAAATATGATTTTGACCTGACTGTGACAATCAATATTCACAAATCACTAATATTTGCACCCACAAGAAAAAAAGCTTGGACTTCGCCATTGTCAAGAAAACATACCACCATCTAAATCATCTGTTGGACCTTTTTCGTTAAGCTCTTCTAAAAGCTGCAATCAAACAACATCACGATTCACATGAGAAATATTAGTAAAGATCAAATTGCTGTATCCCTGCTGTTGTAAGATAATTTGAGTACAACATCCTTTTAAGATCCATTTTAGTTATCAAAAGGTGATGCTGTTATTGGGGAAAATGTGCTAGAGATCGTATCGTAAAAGTAATTTCAAGCTAGTGCCGGCAGCCAACCCTAGTAGCCAGTAAGAACTTTCTTTAATTGGAAATAGTTGCTCATGCCATTAGACAAATCAGTTAGAACCTCACTGGCTGCTATATTGCTCCAAATGCAACTATTAATCCTCTTTCAATTTGAAGCTGAGCAAATTATAGGGAACCAAGTGGGAAGCTTTCCATTCTAGTCCCAAGATAATTATTCAGAAGATAGACCAGAAAATCATCTTTTTCTTGTTCTAGAATAAGTTTACCTGTGAAAGAGTAGGTACTGTGGTAGGATCAAACTGCTCACAGTGATTTGGATCAATAGGGACACAAATGCGGCCTGGAGCAACAGGGAAAAAAGTTACCTTTACAGTACAAACTAACCTGTAACTAAAAGTATTCCAACAACTTCAGATTAACAGGAAAGCTGGCACATAATAAAATTTAGTTGATAGTCAAAACATCAACTCGTTTTTTAAAAAAAAAAACAAAGGAAAAAGATACGAAATTTAGATACTAACCTGTTTTTGGGTGTACACAGAATGGAGCTTTAAGCAAGTGGTTCATGTGTTTTGAAACCTGGAACATATAGTGGCCAGATTAGATACTTCAAAAATTTAGACTTGCAACCTTGGTTTGTCAAATAATGATTTGCCAATTAGATAGTTTGAAATGTCGACTTTCTATCAATAGAGAGATTGCAGGGAGAAGATAGGAATATGTAAAGGTACAATCAGAAACAGTTCAAATAGGCCTGAAGGTACAGAAAAAAGGGATCAAATACAGACAAACCTCCATATCAAGTCTAGGATAAGTAAAGGAAAACACAATCTCTTCAACACACCTTCGCAGTCCTTGTCCCTGCAGAAAGGAATAGGCGGGCATTAATGGTGAATGGAGTGTAATGTAGTTCTTCTTTTTTTTCAGCATGTTCTGTATGATTTCCTAGAATGAAAGGTACTAATTATAAACAACTTGTGAAAGAGACAGAAACATGTGATTGTTAAAATAGATCTCAGCAGAAATTTCGAGTAAAATCTTCCACCATGAGAGTCCAGTAACTGTTTTCTATTTACGCAATCATGCATAGAGCAGATGCCATGTTCACCCTGAAAATTGGTATTTGGTTGCAAGCATTTGACTTCTAACCTTATTCTTTGATAGCAAATGTTTGAGTTGTTCCCATCGAACAACATTAATGTCTTCTTTTGCGGTTGAAGACCGCCTATTTTCTTGCCATCTGCCCCTAAGTTCAGAAGCGATAGCTGCAGACAGTATTCATGTATTATATACATAGACCAGAGCTGGAAATGTCATAACAAGTTTCATCTGAAGGCATGGCAGGAACAGTAAAAATGTGTACCTGCATCAGGAATCAACTCTAAGATCATCTCATATCTCTCTTCAGTAGAAAGTAAATTTTGACTTATTAGTAGTCCTTTCTCAAAAAAATCTTTAAGAACTTCAGTGTATGCTCTCCTGCAAAAATGAAATAGACATTAGCTTAAACAGGAATATGAAATATGTGGTCCAGAAAGACAATCATACATAGTAAACTTACACAAGGAAAGGATGAAGAGCATGACCGGTAAGTGAAACCTTCTTATGACTATTCTCATTTCCCTGGACAGAATAAAAGATAGAAAGTACACATTATAATAATATTCCCGAAACAAACAAATTGGATTTCCAAAGAATACCACCTTGTAGACACGAAAATAGTCAGCAATTGCCGCTCTCTGCTCATTAGTCAACCTGCAAAAGTAAGGGCAACATATTGGAGTGTGAACACTAAGTAATGGAAGGAAACAGAATGCAATTCTCAATTGCAGTGTCATACCTTCTTGCCTTCCCATCACAGACCCAACAGTGAACACCACGGCGGCCACTATAAGCCCATAGAATATGTTTAAAGCCAAAATCATCTGAAAAGGTAAGATTGAATAATAAATTAACAACATTTGATATACAATGTCAATGCCCAAGAATTCTAATATCAAAAAGTGAATACCAAAGCAATTATACAAGTAATAATACTTGTATAAATTATCCCAGGCATTGCTTCGGCCATTGATTCCGCACAAATATCAGAAAGTGAAAATATCCACACAATTGTAATACAAATTCAGAGAGGGATTCTTTCTGACTTTCTCTTTTTGGTCCGGCATGATACACCTACCTTTCTGGAGAACGTCGTCTGGCAAAATCAATTCCCCTGCCTTACCATGAAAGCTATTTTCTGTTATTTAGAAGCATTTCCATTTGGGGGCTATGTTCATTTTTATGAGAAATGCAGCTTGCAGCGTACGTATTATTAAATGAAACTTAAAATCATAAGCATCAAAGATTCACTACTGGAGAGAGCAAAATTAAGCCCGCTGTTCTTTGATCAAAAATTCAAAATACTGTAAATCACAGTTTCGCTGCATTACATGAGATCCAAATATCACCTCGTAAGGCAGTATCAATCACTTTAATAGCTATAGTCATCAACGGCCAGCAATTCAAGCAAACATCAGCACCAGTGCAGCAGTACCTAACATCATCGTAATCTGTCATATCCTACACCATATATTTAACTACATGTCAAGAATTTCCCAGTAGCAGATTTTATTTGTCAACTTGAGGTTGTAAATCGTACAATATCAAAGATTAGCTCTCTCTCAACTGGAGCGAAAACATTATCACCACTCTGAGCATAGGCATGCCTTTTTGTGGGCTGCAACACATAACAACTTACAGATTAGGAAAAGAAAAAGTTGATAGAAGATCTCAGTAAAAGCATTTCAACGAAATATATCAAGAATTAACATTTCAACGAAATAGTTTTTTTAAAAAAAAAAATTTGCATGTGCCAACAGGACTTTCATATCAAAACCCATCGCAAGATTGTGCCATGAATACTGAATTCAATACAGGCATCAACGTTATCAAGAAGAATTAGCATTTAATTTTATAAAAAAAAAGTAATTGGGAGCGTATTTGTGGCTCCAAAACATTAATTTATTCTTTTCAGACACTAGTAAATATCCGACACTGAATAGAAGAACAATGACGGTACGACATGATTCCAAAATGGCAGGATAGTGGAAAATAGGGAAGTCTTACCTCCACGCTATACACAGGTCCAATATCAATCTTAAATGGGCATTTCTCTTTCATGGAGTTTTCAAGCTCCACGGCACTGTGGAAAGATTGGAATCGGAGAAATATATCGTTGTCAAGCGTGAACGAAAATTCCCTCCTGCTGATATAAGAGGGATCACAACCCGGGTGCTTCCCATCTTCAAATACATTGAGAGGGAAGGGAGAGGAAAAAAAAACAAGAAGACAAATGTGCATGCACCCACTTGTTAGCAAGCCTAACCGGATTATGTGCATCGAAAGAGAATTAGGAGAGATAACATATATTCAGTGCTTACCATTGCCGTAAGACATCCATCTGAAAAAATCGGCATAAGGAAACAGCTTTCCTGAGGGGAAACAAAAGGGGGAAAATATGAATAACAAACAAAAGTAAATGAAACGTCGTTATAGCATAAAAATAAGATAAAATAATAAAATCTTTGGCAACTTGACGGAAAAGGGCACATTATGATCAGATTGTCAGGCTGAGCAGTTGAGCCAAACTTACAGCGAGCTCAACTAAAAGGTAAATTAACAATTGCAACCAGATAAGAGCCGAAATTCACCGTAAAATGCTTTAAGGTGATCCGGATTGAACTCGCTATGAACATGACTTCCCTGGTTTTGCCCAGGCGCTTCAGTTTCGCACCCATCAATAAGCATGTAATCTTTCTCGTTCTGAAGCTCTTCTTTCGTCATTTCTGTGGTTTGTGTGCACACTGCGGAGCAGAATCGGGGAGGGGAAAGGAAGTAATTTGATTGAAAATTTAAGATCAGAGTTCCAAGAGTGAAAAGAAGGTGGCGTTTTTGGCGAAGGGAGGTGGTAGGAGAAGGTATGACTGATGAAGGGAACAAGAAGAGATATGGCGCGAGATCCTGGAGATTTGGCGGGAAATTGAGGGATATTGTGGGCCTAACAATATTGGGCTCTTTGGTAATAGCTTTGATAATGGGCTTTACTCTGAGCACCCCAATTCTCTTTGGACAAGGTCACCCCAAATGATAGATACCCAGCCACAACGAGAATTTGGACTAAAATCCTTACTTTATTTGTTTTAAACAAATGAATTCAGATGAAACGAATCTTAAGAATTTGGATAAAAAAAATCTTAAGAATAAAGATAATTATGTTTAGGAAATTGGTGCATTGTTTAACGAAAAAAAATAACACAGGTGAAAGAGGGAGTACCTTTAAAAAGAGTAAAAATTATAAACTTTTTTTTAATCATTTTTATAACAAAAAGTTCTAGTGAATTAGTCTCAAAAGTTAACAAGAAGTTCAAAATTTACAGCCTTATAGATTATTGGTCAAGTTTTTATTAACTAAATCAATTTTTGTTGATTTTTTTATCATTTATATTACTCATCATCTCAAGATTGTAAATAAACTTCAGTTTTATTTTTTTTTTCATGCCAAAATTTGACATGTTTGATTATGTATTTGATAAAGTTTCTTGGACATATGATTCGACTAATAAAGGATTGTGTTGGATTGACTGGTGATCTTGAATTTGAGTCCTAAATATGTACTTGTGTTAAATATTAGTTTAAAGAGTTTTGCTTTCAATATAATCTTGTTGGCAGAACTGGCGGCAGACGTGAACAGCGAACTTCAAACTGCTTGAGTCGTGTTCGGAAGAACACTGTCCTTAAGAACTATTCCGACATACCTGGATGACGGACTGGCAATTCCCCAGGATTAAACAAGCACTTCCTGCGGCGAAGCAAGGAAACAAAACAATAGAGACTAAAAGTAAACACAGACGAATATACGAACAGAAGGCAGATGGAGGAGAGAATTGCCCCGAAAACTCAAGAGGCTGGTGCCTTGTTCTGTCCGCACCCATGGCTATATATAGCCCGAGGAAGGAGACATGAACGTTGGCTTATAATCACCGAATTAAAGCTTCAGTTATATTCTCATAAATCATGTTTAAGCATTTGTCTGGGGGTTACGCAGATGTAAATCTCAATTAAGCCTCTATCTGAAAATGTTGGCAGACAAAACGTTTAAAATATTAACTTCACAAAATCGATTTATTTGGAGACGTTAGCAGACAAAACATTAACTCACAAAATCAGTTTTTAGAAGAGGTTTAATGTTGAAAAACTGCCAAGATTTCAAGTTCATATTTATTTATTTAAATATTTTTGCATTTGTCTGGGGGTTACGCAGACGTAAATCTCAGTTAAGCCTCCATCTAAAAACGTTGGCAAACAAAACATTTAGAATATTAACTTCACAAAATCAATTTATCTAGAGACGTTGGTAGACAAAACATTAACTCACAAAATCAATTTTCAGAAAAGGTTTAATGCTGAAAAACTACCAAGGCTTCAAGTTCATATTTATTTATTTAAACATTTTTGCATTTGTCTGGGGTTATGCAGACGTAAATCTCAGTTAAGCCTCTATCTAGAAACGTTGGCAGACAAAACGTTTAAAATATTAACTTCACAAAATCGGTTTATCTGGAGACGTTGGCAGACAAAACATTAACTCACAAAATCAGCTTTCAGAAGAGGTTTAATGCTAAAAAACTGTCAAGGCTTCAAGTTTATATTTATTTGTTTAAATATCTCTGTAAGAATGACCCAATAAAAGGAACCCATTGCCTCTTGGAGGCACGCGCGGGAGGGTGAATCGGTTGATTTTAACTGTGATTGCTCTAAATTGGCCTGTCTCATATGCGTGAAGCCACTTCTCCTCCAAGCCCATTTTACTAGCCCACTTCATTCTTTAATATACATACACTAGGAGATTTATTCTTTTAGTTAATGTGGGACTTTGACACATGCACACTTTTGACACACATACAACAATCTTACCCGAGTCCATCAATATAATGAGTATTACATTCAATTTTCTAACAATTTAAGCAGTTAGACAAATTCAATCTGCATGTTTTTTTAAGTCAGTCCCTATGTCTGAAGAACTTATAAGTCCCTTCTCACGTACATACACACACATATATATATTATTGTTACAAAGTTAATCCTTTCAAATTAGAAGTTTGAATTCCAGAGTGGCCGGCATGAACAAAGGAAGACGACGAGATTGATGATGCAGCAAATAAATAGATTACACTGAAGCCAATCAGGATTAAAAGCAACCTGTGAGTGTGTTTATCTTAACGTTTGCGCATGTTTTGATGTACGTAGAAAACAAAAAACCATATATTAAAAAAAAAAACAGTTGGTTCAAGTGGCATCAATATATTCCAGTGACACTTATATCACGAATTTGAGTCGTGCGTTTACTAAATAGAAAAAGGTTCAAAAGCTAACGGTTAGAGCTTTTTAAATGAATGCATCTTTGGAAAATGAAAATGTTAATGCAAACATGCCACTTGTAAAAGACTGCCCGAACTGAAATCCTATAGCAGCGACACATGCAAAGCTAAAAAATTTCACAAGTCCTTGACTCCTTCGCTGCCAAAGACGCGGGCAAAAATTTCGAGACTTGAAGATATCTCTTCTCGTCAATTCAGAAATCTTGTAGCTTCAATTGCCATTCTCCCATTTTATTTTGTTGTTGCATTGTTATTGAATCAGCTGGTGTATTAGTCTTCCCCCGCATTTTTGCCGTTCTTCCATTGATCACTTGTTATGGTGAATGGCAAGCAAGTGTATCGCTGACAAGGATGGATTCCAAATCATACACGTACCTCGATTGGATTAACATGCAGCCATCAATTTCAATATCAATTTTTTTTCTTGAAAAACACGTGATAAAGTGGGAGATTCAATTATTTGATTTGATATTACAATATCAATGCTTTATTAATAAGCAAATCATTAATCAATCAAGTATATAATTAATAATCCCGTGATTCACTAGCATTTTTTTTATCAAAAATACCTGGAATGTGTGCACTTGTAACTGTTTTGGAACAATCCGTGCAATGCCCGGCATTGTGGCTAGGTTTCAAAACAAAATGATTACTTTTTTTTTTTTGCCAAAAAGCAAAATGATAACTAAAACTTTGCCTTTGTTACTAAAACAAAATTAAAACCACGATCATGATTCAAGAAGGATAACAATGTTAACGAGAAAATAATTATTATTATTATGGGATTAATAAGAAGACAGTCCTTTCATATCATGACGAAGGATGACCACGCTGATCACAAAAGCTACGCGAATATACAAACGCTACAACGATCCTTCGTGCAATGGCTAATCACTAATGTTATAAGTTAGGTTTAAATTAGAAGTGTCTGATCGAAAATAGCGCGTAGGAGTGACGGCTGATTAGGTCCCAACCCAACGCCATCAGAGGAGGCCCATCTTCCTCGAATCCTCTTTCTCATCATCTGCTCAACCTAATTGCCTCTTTTGACACATCTTCCATTTGACGCTCTCGAGGATCGTCCTGCTCCTACCCGGACCAGCTGAATCTTTGATATGCCTTGCTGAGTCCTGATCTCCCCAGTCTTTTTCGATACCTGGTGAGGTATTATTATTATTATTTTCATTTCATTCGTTTCTTTTCAATCAATTTCTTTTTTCCCCCACCTTTTTGTTTCCTGATTTATACTTTCGTCGGGGTTCTTGTTTTATGACTGCTGTCCTTGACTACGGTGATGAGCAATACAGAGGGAGTATCGGATTTAAAACCCTAACTGTTTTTTTTTGCGTGAATCTTGGTCTTGTTACGATTTTCGGGTTTTTGGTTGGCCGGAGATCTTGCTATAGCATGAGACTAGTGTGGATCTCTGTTAGAGAAATATGCAGATGAAAACTTATCGAGTTTCGTGAATTCGAGTGAACGTTTAAATGTGCTTTTCGGCGTTTCTGGTTTTTCTTTTTAACCTTTGCATGATCTGTGTCATCATGCTGCTCCTATTCAACTTTCTTCGTGTTCTAAATCTATTTATTTTTGTCGCTCCTTTAATTTTTAACAGAATTTTGATTATGATTACTCACCTGTGCGAATAGAGTTGCTTCTTTATGTTTATGGCGTATTAAATCTATGGCTCGTGTCCTGACACGTCTAATGAACTAACTGTTTTCTTTAATTAGCAGTTGGTTTTACTAGGTAGTGACAATGTCGACTCCTGCAAGGAAGAGGCTGATGAGAGATTTCAAGAGGCTGCAACAAGATCCACCTGCAGGAATCAGTGGTGCGCCTCAGGACAATAATATCATGCTCTGGAATGCTGTAATATTTGGGTGAGTTGGAATGAAACTGGATGTAGATCCATCGTTTTGTTTCTTTGCATAATATAATCACTTCATATTATTTCTCACTTTATTTAAGTACCGATGGATAAGCAATTTCTGCTTTCTTGTCTGCTTTGGATTGCAGTCCTGATGATACTCCATGGGACGGAGGTGAGTTAATCCTTGCCCCACATCTCTTAAAATAATGCATGTGACTGGATTCTTCTTTTTAAAAAAAAGCAAGTTATTTCTCTTCCCTCCTTTTATTAATTTGTACATATTCTGATCAATTGGATTTAAATTTGCGAGCTCCATAGATGGTTGTAATCCTGACTTTGAGAATTATGCTTGAACAGTCATGCAGACGCAACTCTTGTCTGGTGATAGATTATTTTTTCATTTATCCTATTCATATCGTGATTATTGTAAGCTGTATATTTATTGTATTGTTGATATGCTACCTAATTGTGCCTGTTAAAGGTTGTGTGCTGTATACTTTCTCTGGTTTCTCATGGTGTAGCCTGCTTTGCGTTATATCTTTTCACTTAATGTAGTCATGTAATAAAATACTTGTTTTATTTGCATAATAACTACATCATTTGAGTTGTTCAGGAACGTTCAAGTTAACCCTCCAATTTTCGGAGGATTATCCAAACAAACCGCCAATGGTGCGATTTGTCTCCCGAATGTTTCATCCTAATAGTAAGTCTTAGCTGAAAATATGTAAGATTTTATTCATAAATTAACCTTGTTGCTACTAATGCCATATTTTCAACTTTGGTCAGTTTATGCGGATGGGAGTATTTGTTTGGATATATTACAAAATCAGTGGAGCCCCATATATGATGTAGCTGCTATCCTCACATCTATCCAGGTATCATTTAGCTGTTAATTCTTAATAATATCTGCTTGATTTTATATTTTCGCGGCAAAAGAATGCTACTGCATATGGAAACTATGAACTGTGGGTTTCCTCCTGTGGTTTAGTAACCAATGATGGTTACCATGACAAGAAAATTATGATTGAACTCAACCCAAATGGGTGTTCAAATTAATTAACATGAAAATACTGAAAATAACCAGGAAACAAAGAAAAAGACACGCCCAGATCATCTCCTCTGCTATTTTAGAGACCAGAGACTCTCCAAAACAGCACTCGGTGAATGCTTAACCCCTCACTAAGCCCTCCTTTACAATCTGTATCCCACCACACCCCCCCTCACTTCACTGAGTAAATGAAACATACACCCTTTAATTAGAGGAGCCCAGCTGGAGTTACAATTAGCAATTTTACCTTTGTTTTACTTTGATTTGTATAAAAGATGAGAATATTTGATGACAAATGATGCAGGGACCTTGCTTTTTAGATCCTCAAGTTTATTGCTAATGTTAACATATAATCAATAATGCACTCGCTGGCCTTCTTGTTGGCTGTATAATTCTTCTGAGGCCCAATGTGTTGGTTGCTTTTCTCTTTCTGTTCCAACTCGAAGCTTTCTGCTGCCTTTCCAAGGAAAAATATGATATATGGAAACAAACTGAACTTTTTATTATTGATGTAGTAATTCGATATATATCCTTTTTATGTAGTCCTCTAATTCCTGACTCTATTCTACTTCAATTAGTGTCAAAGATGAAAATATTTAATAATGAAATGACGTAAGGACCTTGCTTGTTAGATCTTCTAGTATATTTGTAAAGTTCAAATACAATCAAGAACACACGCCTTGGCCTTCTGGTTAGCTGTATAATTCTTGTGAGGTCCTACGTGAACATTGCTTTATTCTTTCCATTTCAGCTTAAAGCTCTCTCCTGCTTTTCTAAGGGACAAAAAAAAATGTGGAAACAAACTAAACTTTTTATAATAGATATATTATTTCAATATTTCTCCTTTCTATGATGTTCTGTAATTCCTGCTTGTGTAGTTGTTATTTAACTGAAACACTGATTTCCAACTGTTTGTCATTTTATAAAGCCCCTTTGTGAAGATTTTTTTCTTTGGTCTAGAACTCCTAGACTTACTTTTTCCTTTATAGCTGTACATTCTATCAGGTTGGATCATACTTTTTGTCCCTAAAGTTTGAGGTCAATTACAATTTCGTTGCGAATATTTTGTTTCATTGCGATCTTGCACTTTCCAAAATGTTGCAGCGTTTTGATAAACCCTAACCTAACTCTGCCCATGGCCGTTGATACGGTGAAGTGCAATGCCATGACTAGGTAAGCAGCACCAATTGTGGCGTTGCAGTTGCCTCGCAATTTTTTTTCATTTGGGCAGAACAAACCTGGTATAAATAACCAAAAGTCCATCAGAACCCCCCCAACCCAAAACCAAAAAAAATTACGCAATGATTGAGGGACAATTTTTGCCCTATCAAACAGAATGTCCTTAGAAGTTTCTTTTCTCCCTTTTTTGTTTGAAATGCTTATATTGTGCAGTTAATAAGCAGCATGTTTTGATTATTTTTGTTCCGGGAGTTAATTGTTTCTTTTGGCAGTCACTGCTTTGTGATCCAAACCCAAATTCCCCTGCAAACTCAGAAGCTGCTCGGATGTTTAGTGAGAACAAGCGTGACTACAATCGAAGAGTTAGAGAAATAGTGGAGCAGAGCTGGACAGCTGACTAAGTACATCCTTGTTGGGAAATTCAGCTCATCTGAAGCTCTGCCCGCACAAATTTAGTTGCGGTTGACCCTTAAGAATCATTGTGCAAACTCAAACTTCAATTTTTATTATGCTTGCGTTGCTATTCTGAACGTTAGGATCACCTTGTCTTCATTGTAGATTTCTTTGTGCCAATCTGTAAAATAGAAAACTGTGTAAACATTGGATTGCTATCAACATGGTTCAGTTCAAAAGCTGTAGTTTGCTATATTGTTATGTAAATGACATAGCTTTTTTCAGTTATAGAGGAGGCTTGGTTTTGGGAATGTGGAGTGGGGAAAATGATATAGCTGTCGAATATTTGACATCATTGTTCTTTGCCAAATGAGACAGAAAAACAGAAAGATCAGACTGAATGTTTCAGAAGGTTTTTTTTTTATTGTTTTTTTTATTGCTTATAGAAGCAATTTTGTTCGAACACAGTTGGACACTAAATGGGGGTATGTGTTTTTAACTAGAATTTGAATTTTAATTTTTGTTGTGAGGAACTGACTTTCTTTTTAAGTTAGACTCAAACTTGGTTGATTTTTTTAGGTGTTTTGTTAACAATGATTGCTGCTGTCCTTATGTTATGTTTGAATTTTGAGTTGGCCACAAAAGTTAGCGAACATGTTGTAAATAGCTGTCATCACAAAAACAATGCATCTTTAGTCGGAACGCGACTTGCGAGGGCAATTTTTTTAATTATATTTAATATATTTAATAAATTTTATTGAATTTTTGCTATGATTATTATTTAATCCCACGTTTATTCTTTTATTTTCTTTTCTATAGATTCTGCACCAGGTATACTTCTTTATATAAAAATAAAATCAATTTATGTGGCTGGGCGGGTGGTTATACATTGTTTCTTTGGATTGATTTAAGAGTTTTTTTTTTTTTTTCGGTGTTTTGTGTTGATCTTGTGTATATAAAATAATCAAAAGAGTGCAAAGGAATTTTTGTATGGAGGAATTGCTAAAAAAGACTTCATAGGCAAATTGTTGTCACGGACCAAGTTAATTTGAACAAGACATTAACCAAACTCAATTTAATATTTAAAAAACCTTCTAACCAAATGCTTGATTTGCCCCTCGGTGTTGAAAAAAAAATGTAATAAATGAAGAAAGGCGGTCAAATGTTAGAGGAACAGCGTGGTTACTGGTTAGTGCGCCTAACCTCTCCGACGGTGGTCGTTGGTCGAGCACTAATGCTAATCAGTGTCGCGTGGTTTAACCTCTTGGGTTCATTCATTAAAAAAAAAAAAAATTCAATCGTTCTTTCTTTTCTGATAATGTTTTACATTTGCACCAAAACAAAATTAATTTTTTAAGGTTTTTTTTCCTTTTGGGATAATGTTTTATACAGTAAAAAAATAAGAATTTAATTTTTTTCCTTATATTTTTTAAATTAATTCTTCATTCACTGTTCATTCGTTAGGAAGTAAGGGAGCATTTTCATATGTGGTTTTGCTTGGTCTTGGTGCGTTCTCCAATATCTATTGTGTGTGTGTCAAAAGTCCCACATTGGTGACAAAGTACACTGTTGAGCATACCGGCAAACAAAAGTTTATTGTAGAAAACTACTACAAATGGGAGATGATGAGAACAAGGATGTGAAGGAGCAAATCAATGAATATCATAAGTTGCTAGAGGAGCTTCGTGTTGAAAACGTCAACCTTCCAGACGAGTTTGTTGTTGGGATCCTGATTGAGAAGCCACTAGAATCATGGAATGATTACAAACAGCAACTGAAACACAAACAGAAGCAGCAGTCCTTGACTGACCTGATCACTCACATTATCATCAAAGACACCAACCACAAGGCAATACGTGCAGCTCGAACCAAAGAGATAATATCTAAAGCCAACCTGGTGGAGATAAAGCCTCACAACAAGAGGTATGACCCTAAAACCAAAGACAAAAAGAATAGAAAATCTGATTACAAACTCAATGCTTCTAACCTCTCTTTCAAGAAGAAAGGGGACTATTTTGCCTGTGGTAAACCAAGACACTATGCAGCACAGTGTAGGAAGAGAGCGAACCGTGATAAGCCTCGAAAGCCAAATGTAAATTTGGTACAACGAGATGGTGATGGTGATGATGACATTATTGCTGCAGCGGTGTCACAAGCTCTCTTAATTTCTGATGTGAAGAAATGGGTGGTAGACTCCAGGGCTACCAGGCATATATGTGCTAGCCAGGAGATGTTTACCTCCTCTGATCTTGTAAAGGAAGGGGAAGATTGTGTTTACCTTGCTGATTCTCGAACTATCAAAGTTTAAGGAAAAGGGAAAGTGATCTTAAAGCTCACATCATGAAAGACTCTAGCTCTGAATGATGTTTTGCATGTGCCTGAAGTTAGAGTAAACTTAATGTCAATTGCTCTTTTAGGAAAAGTTGGGGTTAAAGTATCATTTGAATCTGACAAAATTGTAATGACAAAAAATAATGTGTTTGTGGACAAAAGATATTGTAATCAGGGACTGTTTGTTTTGAATGTTGATGAAATGAATAAGACTGAATCTTTTGAGTATATGCCTGTTTATATGGTTGATTCCTTTGATCTGTGACATGCTAGACTAGGTCACGCTAGTAAAGGTTATATAAATAGGATGCGACAACTTGGACTACTTTCTGAAATTAAAAACAATGTTTTTGGAAAATGTAAAGTATGTGCAAAAACTAAACAAAGTAAAAAAAAAAACTTCATTTTTCTAGTCAAAGTGAATCTGAATTACTGTCTTTAATTCACACTGATTTAGGTGATTTAAAACAAACCATGACTAGATGTGGTAAAAAAATTTATATCACTTTTATTGATGAATTTTCAAGATATACTAAGGCATACTTGTTAAGAAACAAAGATGAGGCCTTTGAAATTTTTTTTTTATATAAAGTAAAGGTTGAGAATCAGTTAAACAAAAGGATTAAAAGGGTTAGATCAGATAAAGGTAGAGAATATGTCTTGTTAAATGACTTTTGTGAAAAAGAAGGAATTATACATGAGATAACACCTCCCTATTCTCCTGAGTCTAATGGTGTTGCAGAAAGAAAAAATAGAACATTAAAAGAAATGATGAATGCTTTGCTTGTGAGTTCTTCTGTGCCTGATAACTTGTGGGATGGAGCTATTTTGTCTGCATGTTTTTTACAAAATAGGATACCTCATAAGAAAATAAAAAAAAATACCTTATGAGTTATTAAAAGAGTTTACCCCAAATTTAAAATATTTAAAAGTGTGGGGGTATCTTGCAAAAGTTTTATTGCCAAATCCTAAAAAGAAAAAAATTGGTTCTAAAACTTTTGATTGTATGTTTATTGGGTATGCTGAACAAAGTGCAGCTTATCAATTTTTAATTTTAAAAAGTGATATTTTAGACCAAAACATAATTGTTGAGATTAAGAATGCAGAATTTTTTGAAGATATTTTTCCTTTAAAAATTGAGCATATTTCTAAACTTTTTGAGAATTTAAAGTTTGAACAAAATTTAAATGAGGGTTTGGTTTTAAGGAGAAGTAAAAGGCAAAGAAAAAAAATAAGTTTTGGAGATGATTTTTACACTTATTTAGTGCAAGATGAACCGTTAAATTTTTATAAAGCTATTTCTTCTCTTGATACCAAATTTTGAAAAGAAGCAATTGAAATTGAAATTGATTCTTTAAAAAAAATAAAAATTAGGTTTCAGCAGATTTGCTCCAAGGAACTAAGGCTATTGGGTGTAAATAAATTTTTAAGAAAAAATATTTTCAGATGATTCAATTGATAAATATAAAGTAAGGCTTGTAGCCAAGGGTTTTATTCAAAAAGAAAATATAGATTATTTTGATACATTTTCTCCTGTGACTAGAATTTCTTCTATAAGAGTTTTTATTGCTTTGGCTTCAATTTATAAGCTTTTTGTTCACCAAATGGATATTAAAATCTCTTTTTTAAATGATGATTTGGAAGAAGAAACTTACATGGTACAGCCTGAGGGATGTGTGATTCTTGGGCAAGAAAATAAAGTTTGTAAACTTGTCTGGTCTTTGTATAGCTTAAAACAAGCACCTAAATAATGGCATGAGAAACTTGATCAAGTTTTGACAACTGGTAAATTTTCTACTGCTGAAGTGAAAAGGTGTGTTCATACAAAGCTTGTGAATAATGACTATGTGATTATATGCTTGTATGTGGATGTCATGTTAATTTTTGGCTCTGGTATGTGTGTTGTTAATGAAACAAAAAAATTTCTTTCTTTAAATTTTGTTATGAAAGATATGGGTGAAGTTAAGATAATCTTGGGTGTAAAAATTATAAGGAATGAAAATGAAATTTTAGTTTCCGAAAAACATTATGTTGAGAAAATTCTCACAAAGTTTGGACATCTTAAAGATGCTCCTTTAAGTACTTCTTATGATTTGAGTGTACAATTAAAAAAGCACAAGGGTGACCCAATTGCTCAATCTGAGTATGCATAAATTATTGAGAGTCCGTTGCATTTGATGAATTTTACTAGGCCTGATATAGCTTATGCTATAGGCAGATTGAGCAGATATACTCATTGTCCATGCAGTAAACACTGGAAGGCTCTGGTGAGAGTTTTGAGATATTTAAGAGTTACTATAAATTATGGTATATTGTATAGTAAATTTTTTGCTGTATTGGAAGGATACAGTGATGCTAACTGAATTTTAAATTCAGAAGAGACAAAATTTAGTAGTGGTTATATATTCATTCTTGATGGTGGTGTAATAATGTAGAAGTCTGCAAAACGGACAATCAACACAAAATTCTCAAGGGATTTTGAGTTTATTGTCGTGGAGCTGGCTGGAACTGAGGCTGAGTAATTAAAAAACTTCTTAGTGAGTATTCCAATAGGTGAAAAGCCCACACCACCAGTGTCTTTACATTGTGATAACCAGTCTGCAATAGCAACGGCTAAAAATAAGACCTTCAATGGCAAAAGTAGATATATTCGATTGAGACATAATATTATAAGGCAGTTGCTGAAAGATGGAGTCATCTCAATCGACTATGTAAGATCAGAGTTAAATCTGACGGATCCGTTAACTAAGCCTCTAGGGAAGAAATTTATTATTAAAACGTCAAGAAGAATGAGACTTAAGCCTGTTTGAAATTAACAGTGATGGCAATCCAACCTTTATGATTGGAGATCCCATAAAGAAGGTTCAATAGGTAAGAACAAGTTATTTATTAGTTCTGCTAGCACTGAATTTTTGTCCCTTCCTATAGCTTGTGAAAGTGCTAGAATGTATTGAATGGAGGCTAAGTGAAAGCTCTTAATGTTTTCACAGTCCTTATGGTTGGTGTATTCATTGTAAATACATTTGATGAAAACACCTATATAAATGTAGGGTGGGGCCGCTCCTATAAGATCATGGCAAAATCTCTAAAGTATTTGTTAAAAGTAGGCACGTGCATGATCGATAACGTGCAAAACCATCGTTAACAATAAAGACTGTGGTGTTATAATCCAATTAATAAGACCTCTAGTACACGCTCAAGATCTGTGATGGCAACTCAACCTTTGTGATTAGAGATCTCATAAAGAAGGTTTAATAGGTAAGAACAAGTCATTTATTAGTTCTATTAGCACTAAATTTTTGTCCCTTCCTATAGCTTGCGAAAGTGCTAGAATGCATTGAATAGAGGCTGAGTGAAAGCTCTTAATGTTTTCATAATCCTTATGGTTGGTGTATTCATTGCAAATACATTTGATGAAAACACCTATACAAATGTGAAGTGGGGCCGCTCCTATAAGATCATGGCAAAATCTCTAAAGTATTTGTTAAAACCAGGCACACGCATGATTGATAATGTGCAAAACCATCGTTAACAGTAGAAATTGTGTGGTTATAATCCAATTAATAAGACCTCTAGTACATGCTCAAGATCTGTTAGTTCAATAACAAAGTTACACTGACTTTTTTGTATACTAAGTTTTATAAGTTTAGGTTTGGTTCAAGTCAACAGAAACTAAATTCAAAGTAATTATCCTTCGTGTCAATAACTCGGATGAAAATAGATCCTTTTGACACATGTGGAAGATTGTTGTGTGTATGTCAAAAGTGTGTGTGTGTCAAAAGTCTCATATTGACTAAATGAAGGACTTTCCTAATATATAAATACTAAGGAATAAAGTGGGCTAGTAAAATGGGCTTAAAGAAGAAGTGAGCTCGCGCACATGAGACAGGCCAACTCAGACCAATCACAGTTAAAAGCAGCTAATTCGCCTCCCCCCATGCACGAGTTCAAGAGGCAATGGATTCCTTTTATCAGATTATTTTTACAAAATAAATAAATAAATAAATATTTTTTGCTTCCTGAAAAATCTCAATTTTTGGCTATCTAGAGTTTGAAATCAAACCATGAACATTTTTTACCATTAAGCAGATTAATTTTCTAAATGTTTTGTCTCCCCAACGTTTCCAGACAAGAGTTTAAATATGTTTTACGTCTGTGTAACCCTCCAACATTTCCAGACAGGTGTTTAAATGTGATTTATGAGTGTACAACCAAAGCCTTAATCCGGTGATTATGAGCTAATGTACATGTCTCCATCTTCGGGCTATATATAACCATGGGTGCAAACAGAGCAACTCACCAGCCTCTTAAGTTGTCAAGGCAATTCTCTCCTCCCTCTGCCTTCTGCTGTCTTATTCATCTGAGTTCATTTTAGTTTCTGCTATTTTGATTCCTTGCTCCGCAGTAAGTGCTTGTTAATCCTAAGGAACTGTCAGTCCGTCATCTCGATGTGGCGAAATAGTTTTTAAGGATAGTGTCCTTCCAGGCACGACTCAAGCAGCTCATCATTCATCGTTCACGTCTACACTGTCAGTGCTGCCAACAATATCCACTTAACTTCAAAAGTTGTGAAGGTAGTTTTTTTAAACCAGTAAATAGGCCAGAGGTGGAAGTTTGGGAACTTAAAATTATTAAGCATATGTACTTGTAAAATTGTAGAAGCATCAATGAAGAGTAATTTTGGCATGGTCTAATGCTGTTCTAATGTAATTTTTTGATGGGACCTTCATTGCCAAACTATAGGGGGACGCCATTGGCACCCAAGCTTAAAAAGCAAATAACTTGAAGAATCAATTGTATCAGTTCTTTGCTCACTTACTTTCTTCAAGTTTGGTGCCGGTATTGTATCAATACTGTAAATAACTAATGACAATATTGGCACTGCTAACAATATTAGCACAATTGATTCTTCAAATCATTTGCATTTTAAATTTAGCACCAGCGGTGTCCCTCGATGGTTTGGCAGTGATGATTCCACCAGAAAATTACATGAAAATAATACTAGACCATGCCAAAATCACTCTCCATTAATACTTCTACAATTTTACAAGTAAGTATGCTTAGTAATTTTAAATTCTCAAACTTCCACCTCTGCCCTACTTACCAGTCTGAAAAAAATACCTTCGCAACTTCTAAAGCTAAGTGGATGTTGCAGGATGCACCAAGACTAAGCAAAGCCGCATATACATTGCCAAAAAATGCTCCCTTTCTTCCTAATGAACGAACAGAGCTTGAAGATTGAACAAAAAGCCCAAGAAGTTAAACAACATGACCTAAATCACCTACCAAACAATCTTTCGCATCCGACAGATCATCAAGACTCATCAAGACATTGACCAGCAATAGTTCAGCTCAGCCACCAAACTTGGCCAACAATGACAGTCGAGAGGTGGCGTGCACAAACGATGTTGTTCCTCTAACATTCGACAACTTCTAACCGCCTCTTTCTTCATTTATTACTTCTTTTTTTTCAACACAGGGGGCAAATTCGACCATTTGGTTAGAGGGTTTTTGAATATTAAATTGAGTTTGGCCCTTTATAATTGGCTTGGTTCCTTACAACAATTTGCCTTTTAAGGAAGTCTTTTCTAGCAATTCTCCCTTTTTTCACATACAATATATATATATATATATATATTTTGTAAATGCATTAAATGCTTAAAAATCTTTTTGCTTATAGAAAGGACTAAACATATTCAAAGGTGCTTATGGATTGAAGCCTCTTGTGTCAAGACAAAAGGAAAATAAATGGTACTCCCCATGTCTCAAATTATAAAACAATTTAAAGTAAGATTAAGCTTGCTATCAAAACATAATAACATTTTACAAACTTATTTTTTTAAAATAAAATTATATTTCAAAAATGCCCTTATATGATTAATGATTATGCTACAAAATCCTAAGATAATATTGAAAAAACATCATTAGTAAAACTTTATGTTTTTTTTAAATTATTTTATATTTTAAAATAATAAAATTTTTCCAAAATTATTTTATAATTTGAGACAGAAAGGATAATAAACAACATGAGAGTCAATAATAATTAATAGAGGACATACTTCAAAGAATGACCGAAATACTAATTCAACATCAACCCAATCGTTATCTACATACTGATATTCATTTCAGCTTGCGGCTTACAATTAAAAGAAATAAGAAATGAAAACATTATCCATTAAGAAAAAAAACACATCAAATAATCTATTATTTAGACAGCCAATTGCCTTAACAAATATAGCATTTAATCAAAAGTATAAACCACGATAATATTTGAATTTGGTTTAATTAACAACTGTTTGTTAGACACAAAAACCATGTCTTCACTCTTCATAACTGATCACAAGATGCAGCTTTTGATGGCAGGTCTCAAACAAATTTCTGAGGACTCTTACGAACACTAGCTCCACACAGAAGACAGAATAATTCAAAAGTCCAAACACAAGCTTCTTCACACAGCTTTTGTTTCATACTTGTCTCTTCAGTGGGTCAATGCATCCTAGTGCAACCATAGAGGAGTGACAAATAAGTTACTTCTTTTATACAACAATAGGGGAAAATCTACACTCCAAGTAAGCATTTTACCATGTTTTCTTTGTTTCCTTGTTTATCTTCAGCAAGTGAAGGACTGACAGGACCTGAATGTGAAAAATAAAAATGTTTGAATGCGAAGGCTATCTAAAGTCTGAAGTGAACTGAAGTATAATTACATGTCAAATGAGAAATTTCTTTAAGCTTACCTGCTGCAACATTAGATTTCTTTCCCTGCTTCCTGATCTTTCCTTTTTCTCTGTTAGGTTCTTCCTTACCTGGCTTCTCAAGTTTCTTCACTGACCTGCGATTCCCACTGTCCAAACCAGATCTTGAATTTGCAGAATTCTCACTGAAACTTCCTCTCACTCTGCATCTAGGATTACTCTTTTGACGGGTCTCCTTCTTGACTAGTTCTTTCTTAGCAGAAGGTTTACTGGAGTCCATGTTTAAGCACTTGGGTTCCATGTTCCCAGAACTCATGGTAGAAGAGTTCTGCAAATCTTCATCAGATAACCCGCTTGCTTCTTCTCTCACCTCTGTTACAGACTCAGGAACACCCTGCTGTAAATGCTTTGTGTTTTCTGAGATGTTGTAACTCTCAAACAATTCTTTCAAAGGCTCTTCTTGTTCAGCTAGCTGGTGCCGCCGCGCATAAGATTTGAGCTCATGTTGCATTCTCTTCAGATGCTGAGGCTGATGTCAAGAGGGCAATGACAAGACAGAAACGAAAATGTCGTTCACATTCTGAGCATAGACACAAGGACTAAATACCCAAGTTCACTAAGTCAAATAGTCTCTTATGAATTAGGACTTTCTCTCAAGAAAAAACCACTTGCTTGAATCTTTGAAGACAAAGTCATTAACCCAAATAGCAAGAGTATGAATGGAAAAGAAGCCACTAGATATGAATAGATGTGAATAATAAGTAATAACATGTACCTCAGTCACTGCCTCTAAAGATAGTTTGAAAAATCCAAGTGAAATAGAATGCTCAGAAGCCGATTCTGAGACCTTGATCTGGGATAACCAAAACGAAGCAGAAGACAAAGCATTGAACTTCTTCTTGCCAGATGGTCTTGAAATGTCAGAAGTGGGAGTTTCACTTTTGTTCTGGCCATAAGTTGACCTATTAGTTCTGGTCTCTGAGATTGGGGAAATATTACCAGCCTTACCAGCTAGCTTTGGGCCTGGAATTGCAGATGCTTTGGCAGGAATTGAGAGCCTTCTTGGTGGTTTGGCACTGGCTGACTTTTCCTTTCCAGAAAGATCTAGAACACCTACACTCTTACTCAGACTTGATGTTGGCCTGCCTCTGAAAAATGAATATGCAGCTTTTATGAAAGACAACTATCTCAGTTTTCCTTGTTATAATTTGTCACATAATTTTTGAAATTGAGTTAAAATGACCTTGAAGTGATGATTCATTTTCTCTATTTTCATCACCTTTTTTTAATTCTCTCTTACTTCCCAAATCCCAATGACTTCACACGCTTTTTCAAAAAATCAAATTCCTAAAAATTAAAATTAAATTAAAATCTAATCCCATGCCAGACAGTCTTTGAATCATAAACAATGACGTGGCCATATGATACAATCGGAATCTAAAATAAATGCTACTCACGTCTAGATAATGGAAGCGGGAGCACTTGGGCTTAGAAATATGTACCAAAAAAAAAATTCAGTTATTTCACATGTAGTCATATAGTCATTAGAATATTTAAAAAAAAATTTATGATCATAATGACATGCTTGAACTGTCAGAGGATGCATATTTTTTTTAATAAAAAAAGATTGCTACTTTACCTCGTACATATTATGCTTTGTTTAGTATAAAAATGATGATTTGATTTCTCTACTCCCAAAAATTAACAAACCACATTAGAAGATGCATGGACAGAAACTGACATTGCCAGTGAGACAATGATCAGCCTTAATGACTCATTCTTAATCGTTCCCATCAATGGACAGAAGTAAAAGCTAAATCATTGCCCTGTTTGCAGTAAACAGAGACAGAGACATGGTATTTCCCAGGTTGTCTAATAACAAGTAGTCGCAACTTTTAGACCAAAACAGGGAATTTAGGTCCCAACTATCATCCAAATCAAGTAGTCGCAAACAAATCGTTCGAAACCTTACTAAGTGGCCGTGAAAGAGAAAGCTTGGAAGAAGAACAAAAGAAATCAAAAAGAAAAACCTCTTAGATGCAGCAGAATTCGACAAATCAGAAGCACGTGGCTTCTCTTGAATTGATTTATTCGCGGAACGCAGGGCGTATGTTCGAAGCTTCGGTCTTGCCGAGTTCGCTGCATCACAAGACAATTAAACGATCGAAGGACTAAGAGACTTCATTTTTTGGGACTGAACCAAACAAAATACTATACTACGTTACAAGAACACAAAAGAATTCAAAAGGAAAAAAAATGAAAGCGTGAGGATTGTACCAGAAACACCCCCGGCGCCGGCAGAGGCATGTTCCTTGACAGGTTCCTGCATTGATCCCTGTATTTTTGATTCTGGATTCACTGACCGAGGTTGCTTCTGTCAAATCGGCAACTTCAAACACGGATATTTAAGGTTGTCTTCGGTGGCCAAATGTCCGTTGGGCGGGAAAAGCAAAGAACCACCCTCTTTCTCTTAAATTAAATTTTATCAGTTTTTTACGACCACGCGCTAACGTTGGTCGGCATTGGTACTCGCTTTGTTTTGCTGACACTTTCAATACTGATTGGCGTTAGCCCTGAAGGATTGTGAACCGCACGAAGGTTGAACGTGGCAATTGGACAGCCGTCTGTTGGGACCATATGAAAAGAAAATTAGAACAGAGGAGGTGAGGATTTGTAATTGTGAGGCCAAGGTTGATGATTAAACGTTTTTTTAAACAGAGATGATGATTAAACGTTAAATTTGCTTATTTTGAAGTCCCCCCAAGTGGGCTCTGGCTTGAAAATTAAAGTCCCGTAGTGGGCCCTTGAGGCTCCATCCTCGTTCGAATTTCAAATTTTAAAAGCAGGAGCCGTTAAACTTTTCATTTTGGGCCGTATATCCACAGACATGGCCCAAACATCTTTTACAGACTGCAAGCAAAAATCATCAATAATCAACAGGCGTTAGTTCAAGTGAAATGAGTTATGACTACTTAAACACAAATTTAATGTAAATACAAAAAATGTCTTTGAGAGAGCTGTCTTTAAGTGAGCTCAATAATATTCAAATTTAATCCAATCAAATATTTATATAAAAAACAAAAATAATCAATATGTTGCCGGGCAAAGAATTACTAGTATACTCTTGGTTCAGTTTTATTTATTTATTTTATTAGTACTTTTATCATTTCATGAAAATGGCATTATATTTAAAAAAAAAAAAATCTGCGTGTAACATGTAAAAGTGAAAGTAATTAGTGATAGAATCTTGTCAGTGGCCAATTGTCCTCACAAAAACATGAGCTCCCTCTTTCCAAGAAGGTCCAATGTTCGAATCCAACATTAACATATTTGTATATTTGCATTTTAAAATTAGTGATAGAATCATATGGAGTTGAAGTGAGAGTTGGATGGCGAGGGATAGTTGTCAACTTCTGAAGCTAAGATCAGATTATCATAGGCCTTGAAGGGAAAAATATTTCCCTCTTGCTTATATTATCATTATCCTGTCTCAGATTGATATTCAATTTATTTCCTTTATTTGTGCACATAAAATCTTCAACAAGACGCAGTAGTTGTGCTTGTCAGGTTCTTGTAAATATATCACTGAATTTACTGGGGCTGACTCCAATAAAAATATGCACAAGTAGTTTCTGATGTTAAATGAGTAAACTTAGATGTATATCTAGGTGGATATCAGGATATGTCATCTTGGAGGCTTATCGTGTCTGTATATATTGCTGGAATTAAGGCAGGGTTCAGGCCAAAAATTTCAAATCTTTGAGAAAAGTTCCCAAGAAAAAAAAAAATCACAAGAATGTCATGAAAATGGAACTTACAAGTTACAATGTATCACTGGGTGGGTGCTTTAACGTTCAATTCAACAAAATGATGCGTATTGATGCTTGGGGCTAAGGAAAAGGCTTTCCTCCCGTCCCTTTTCCGTCTCTCATTGGAGAAAGATTTGAACCATCCAAATTTAATATTTTAATTTTTTTATTTATTAAAATAAAATTTAGAAAAATTATAAAAAATAATAAATTTATTTTTTATCAACAGTTCATATTTAATATGATCAAGTTTATTAATTTTTTATAATTTTTATAAATTTACTATCTATATATATATTTGAATAGTGTAGATTTATTATTAATTTTTTTTTATAATTTTTATAATCAAACTAGGATTATATATATTAAATTTGAACTGTCCAAATTGATGGTTAGATTTATTAAAAACATTTTAAAAAATAAAAATAAAAATCTTAAATTTAAAGTCCAAACGGTTTAGATCTTTTCTAGGTCACAGAGGATGGATCACACATGGAAGGGGGGCCGAGTCATGGGGCTCAAGAGTTTCACATACATTTTCATTTCCCTTTGTTCGGGGATCTGGGAGTTTCCGCCGTTGGGAAATATATTTCTTATGCTAAAAGAAAATTGATAGGCTCATTAGTTATTTAGAAAATACTATGAAATAGTCTAAACCAGTAAACATGATGAAATAATAACAAGGAAACATTGACTTCACCAATCTACTTGTCACCGTTAATACTCGATACAATCATGGCATTAAAACTTAATTTAGATTGACTGATCATGCCAATAAATTAACCGATCCAGTCAAAAATCTTGATATGTAGTGCTGTGCATTAGGGTTAGCAAAGCCAAACTGAACCTGAAAATTAGATCAAATTTTTATTATTTAATTTGATCAATTCAATTTTTTAATTTGATTCAATTATTTTTTTAAAAAGATATTTTAATTGATCAGTTCGATTTAATTTATAAAATTTAAAATTAAATAGATTAAATTATTTAAATTATCATAAAATTGTGGTGGTAACAGCAATTGTTGTAATTAAAATTGTAGTCGAGTTGATTAATGTGATATTGTCAGGCGACTAAGGACAAAAACCCTGAATTAATCACCGAAGAAAATAACTAACAAAGAATAAAATGTATTCTCTCCCTTAAAAAAATGTAAGCTATTTTTTTAAAAAATAAATATTAAAGATATTTTTAATATTTTAAAATATAATTATTATATTCTTTTTATTAGTGCCTCCAATGAAAAAATTATTTTATATTTACTATAAAATAAAATATCTTATTAAATATGAGTAAATATAAAAAAAATAATGTTAGTTTAAAAATAAATAATTACTTTATATTTCATAAAAAATAATTATTTTATTGAGTGATAAAACTGAATTAAAAATATTTTGTATTTTTTAATTGATTAAGTGGTTTTTTCTTTTGGTAGGGAGGGTTTGAGACAGAGAATAGAACGTACTCCCCTGGGCATTGTCTTATGGTTTTTTTTTTTTTTTTTTTGTGTGTCAGAAACATCACTGTGCTGGATAATTATAAGATCACGGTAGCCACCTGGTCCTCCTAACAGTGACAAGGCTTCTCTTGTTCTCTTATCCTCCTTTTGTCCCACGTTGCCTCCTAACTTCACCCCACCTGGTCCTTGCCGCCAGCGTGGCTCTCTCGTACCAACCATAACCGCCCTCCGACCCCCCCAACACCCCCCACTTGTCCAACTCCACGCACTACCCACTCACCCTCATCTCTTGGCGATCCCATCGTATCAACGGTGCCTTTTTCTCACACACGCTTTTGAGCGCGTGATTCACTTTGGGAAAGAAGGGTGTAAGTGCAATTTCGTAATGCTTCCGAATAAAGAAGCTACAACACTTGGGTTCGAAGTAACTGCACCGAGAGTCCCCCAGCGTCCGATCCCAAATCTCAACTTCATTATCATGTGTCGTCAAGCGTATCATATACTATCATATTTACCGTCCGATCAAAATCATTTTCCACAGCTACAGTGGTTGGCCTTGATGTAAATTTCCAGATATTACATCTTGCGGTGAAATAAGATTGACTACATGACATGAAGTGAGCTCACACCATAGCGCGTTCTTTTCCATCAAATGATCCAACCTTTTCGGTTTCAAGACTTTGTTTTCTTCCCTCCTCCAGCAGAGCGCATCAAAGCAACTCAGCAAGCTAGCAGAAAATTGATGGGCTTTAAAGATCACATTTTTTTTCCTTGGGTTTCAAGCTCCCTCTCTGACTCTCTTCCATGTTAAGCTACATTTCCTCCTGTTCTATCTCTCGTCTACTCCACTGTATATATGATCATGTTCTTCTAGAAAAAAATTTGAAAAAATTACTTCATGCGCATTTCGTATTCTCATGTTGTGGTTCTGGATTTCAGGAATAGTGGATTAGGGGGCAAAGAGAGGTTCCGCATTTATCAGGTAACTGTAGGATCTAGCTCGAATTGACCTCGCTAAGTTTGTTCCAAGACTTTCAGAAATGTAGCAGTGCGTGTTTCGTGTTTTTGCTAGCAGTGGATCTTGTGGGTTTTAGGGGTTCTTGGTCTGTGTCTTTAGTACTTCAATTTAAGGATTTCCTTTGCTTCATTTTCTCCGTCAATATGAACTATGCCTATACTTATCTGTCACATCTTGGTATTCCCTGCTGCCTTCTTCGTAATCGTTTTACTTTTAGGTACTTTTGGACTAACCATCCTTGACTGAAACGATAAGTTCTACTTATAGTATCCCATGTTGATTAATGCTGAGCTAAATGTTCATTCTCCTGACAAAAATTGTTGCAAAATGTTTCTTTGGGAGGTTGGAAAGTAAAACATAATTAACTTAATGGCTATGTGTTTTGTTTAACTCGCTGGTTTTCAAACAATGTTGTCGGCAAGAACACGTTTCTTTCTTTCTTTAGCATACGGCAAGAACACGTTTCTTTCTTTCTTTAGCATACGGTAAGAACACGTTTCTGTTAGAAAGGGAAAATACTTGGGGAGTACACTCTAATATACTCAATCCTCGCAGGACAAAATGGAAATACACAAAATACTCTTTATCTGATATGAAGCTTTACTCCTTTAACTTCATTCTCCATCGAACTCTTAAACACTTAACTTTATTTATACTAACCTTCATAATATTTATACTAACCTTCATAACTCTTCAAACTCTAGTTATGTAAACTATCTCTATCACATGAATTGCATGACTTTAGAAGAATCACATGATATTAAGCACATTATGAGACAGCCAATACTAAAATACTCACTCACTTCTGAACATACAAATCTCTAAAAGTTGCATAAGATTTAAATTTATTATTTCTGGCAGTTTCTATTTTAGTTCTCATATTTGATATTACAGTCAAAGCAATGACTGAAGGTTCACCACGTGGATAAGCATAAACGGTTCATCTGGTTTCAATGGATGTGCTGTTTTGTACATCTTTATTGTGTAAGAGGAAAGATGTAGTTGATAAACAGTTTCTTGTTTGCCATCTTTATTTACTTTTCTATTTAAACAATAAACATGCAAATTGATGCACAGAGACTTGATCCACCCTTTTCTATTTTACAGGTACAGATCTCATAATGGGGAAGTCACCAGGAAAATGGATCAAAACTGTGCTATTTGGGAAAAAATCATCCAAATCAAATTTTTTGAAAGAAAGAGAGGTAATACTCGGATAGTTATGTCATTATGGGACTGCATATGTGCTTATTTCATTGAGTTCTGATAGTGGTTGTGTGTTCACCTATTTAGGCAGTGGTCAGTTTTCACTAATCACTTCTGTTAGATTGAAATTGTTATTAGGTTAAGTAATTGCTGTTGTTCTGTTGGAAGAAGAACTGTTAAATTTATATACTTAGTTTGATATAACTTGCCCTTCTGTAGCACAAGTCCTGACGTCTTTTACAACTTTGTAATGTAGAAACTTGCTAAACAGAAAGAAGCACCAGTTGGTTCCAAGGCATCAGAAACTGCTTTGTCTTTTGATCCAAATCCTGATACTTTTGCTAGAAGTGAGAGGGATCCAGAACTGGAAAATCTTTCGCTACAGAATCAAGTCGATATTGCAGGACCTGATCATCAAGATGCCCCTCCTGATCCACAGAAAATTATGCAGAAGGAAGCTGCAACAAAGATGCAGGCTACTTTACCTTCTTATCCAGAGAAAATTAAGAAGGATGAAACTGCAATGACGATGCAGGCTACTTTACGTCCTGATCTAGAGAAAATTAAGGAGGAGGAAGCTGCAATGAAGGTGCAGGCTATTTTCAGGGGTTATTTGGTAATTTCCGTACTTCTATATTATATATACTGAATTGAAAATGTATTCTAGGAGGGAAATGGTACTTTCAAGTGTAATCATGAAGATGACACAAATACAGACTGCAAAAAATATAATATATGTGTGGAATTTGTTTACTGTTGATGTTGTGAATTAGATTCTGGTGACATCTGTCTTAAAAGGGATTGTTGGATGAGGGAATTGAGAGTTTAAGAAAACCTAATCTAATGTGGTAGTTGAATTGTAGAGTTAGTATCAATAGACGTTTATACTGTTTACTGTATCTTTTGTCAGTGGTGTGCATGTAAAGTCAGCCAGAAACATTCAAGTGAATGTTCTCAGGGCCAACTGCCTTCTTGTTCTGGAAAAAAAAAAAAAGGCATTCCATTTATATTGAGAGTTAAATTCCTGGTTGATCTTCTGCTGGAGATTCATTCTGCCATGTTCCCACAGCTGTAATGCTCATCAAGACATTGATTGCTGTTGTTGATCTTCTTCACTGCTTCTGCCTGAACATTCTCTTAAGTCTTCAGAAACAAACATTCTTAAGATTGTTGGACTTATTATTCTGTTGCATTGATCAATCCCTTAACTAATGGAAGTGACTGGTGTCAAGGCTCGCAGGGCTTTCAGGACTCTTAAAGGCATAATAAGATTGCAAGCACTTGTCCGAGGGCACTTGGTTAGGAGACAAGCTATTGCTACTTTATATTGTATGTATGGGATTATCAAGTTACAAGCACTTGTTCGTGGACGAAGAGTTAGGCAGTCTGATGTTGGGTTTGAAGTGCAAGAGAAGTGCAATCTTGTGAAGCCTCTGGTAATGTTTTCGTAGAGCTAAATTCTCTCTTGATTCTCAATAATTAATGCTGCCTCATATTATTTTAGGTTTCCTCTGATAAAAGCCTGTCAAATATAAAAAAGACTAAAGGATAAAGAAACTCCACCAAGGATTAATTGGCTCTTCCAGGAATTCAGTCTCATGCTTTCTTGAACGTATAAACCTGGCCTATAGTAGCTAGGAAGTTGTAGCAAGTGGGTAGTAGTTATTTGAAGTTTCATTCATGGCAAGACAATACTTCATAATGTGCCTGACTGTCTTGGTGGGTTATTTGAAATTTCTTGAAAATCAAAACCAATAAAATATTTATCATAGTTTCTTTCGAAAAAAAAAAATATGTTTATCATAGACAGCGTCTAGTTATGTGTGTGCACTTTGAATTATATTCTGTTTGGGTAATGTCTCTTTAATGCACTGTTAAGATAGAATCAAAGGGTATGATTGCTTCATGAGTCTATGCTGAGGGAGAGGGGGGGGGGGAGAGAGAGGATGATTTTTTATCATATCATTTCTTTCAAATATTGTTTCCACTTATGTTCATGTTGTGCTTCAGGTTGACAAGCGTGGCAACTCAGTTGGGACAACCACAAAAATTTCAGCAAATAGTTTTATACGCAAGGTAAGTTGAATTCTGCTATACATATGATAATTGGTAAGGTTATTTTGTATGCGTGGCTTCTGATTCTGGATGTGTTATTTAACAATGCATACTAGTACAATACTGTAATCAAATAGACATGATTTTATGGTCTCTTATGTGCAAGATTCACTCATATCTTGATCCTTATTTACTATAGCTTAATTTGAAAATAAAGGGACTTTCAAAGCTGTATCATCTATATCAAGAATGTAATTCTATTACAGTTTTCCCATTGATCATTCGTGGCCAAATTGGGCATGTAAAAACTTGGGTTTGGTGTTTCAGCTTCTTGCTTCATCAACTGCAGCAACTTCTTTGCATCTTCAAAATGCTTCTGGGGATCCTAATTTAATCCTAAGTTGGTTGGAGCGCTGGTCAGCATCTCACTTTTGGAAACCAGTTCCCAAACCCAAGAAACCCCTAGACTCTAAATCTCAGGGAAAGCTGGGTAATATTTCAAATGGAGATGCTCAAATGAGCAAGGCAAAACGTAGTAACTGGAAGATTCCTTCTACAAGTTCAGACTTGGTCTCAGTGCAAGAAAATTCTGACTTTGAGAAACCAAAACGAAACCTGAGGAAAGTTTCAAGCAAGCCAACAGATCCAGCGCAGGAAAATTCAGAAAATGAGTTTGAGAAAGTTAAGCGTAACTTGAGAAAGGTTCATAACCCTGTTGTTGAGAATGCTGTTCAGTCAGAAGTTGAATCAGAGACTGTGGGGCAGCATTTGGAAAAGGCAGCAATTACCTCAGGCTCTGGTGTTTCAGAAGAAGGGGTCAAAAGTTCCTATGAGAAGAAAACAAAGGATGCAACATTGGCCATGTCCAAAGTGCCTGATGGAGAAATTACACTTAGAATTTCAGTTAGCAAGGGGGCACCTGACGTGCCTAGTACTCAAGTGCCTACCGATGCAGTGCACTTGAGAGAGATTACAAGTAGATGTAAAAGCATTTCCAGTGAAGAAGCTACCGAAGAGCTAAAAGATCCACGTGAGGGTTTTACTGACGAAAATTCTCCCCTAACAAACAGACATTTGAGTCTTAATGAAGATTCATCAAGAAATGAAAACAAGAAACCCAGTCAAAAATCTCCAACTCTATCTAAGCAGGAACTTTTAGAGGATGGTTTAAAGAATGGTCCAAATCCCACTTTACCAAGTTATATGGCGGCTACTGAATCTGCCAAGGCAAAGCTGAGAGTACAAGGATCCCCAAGGTTTGGACAAGATGGAAGTGAGAGAAACAACATTACCAGGAGACATTCTCTGCCATCTTCAAATAACAGTAAAATTAGTTCACATTCACCGAGAACACAGAGACCAGCTCAAGCAGAAGACAAAGGGGGACGCAGGAGTGACAGAACAATGGGTTCTTCTAGAGGTGGCAATGGTATGATATATTTCTTTTTAGATAAAGTCGATTGATATGTCTCATATAATGACTTCACCAAGAAACAAGTGCTCAAACCAGTTTCGGAATTTCATGGACCAAAACAAACAAATCAGTACTAAAACTGAAATGTTACTTAATAGCCTGGGTCTGTGCGGGTTTCAAAACGGTGCAACTCTGGTAGAAAAAACCTAAAAACTAAAATCAATTCGAAACATGTTCTATGACTTTTCATGTTTTCATGATTGATAGCCATGAACGAGTTTGTTCATCTTTGCAGGAAAGTTAACTCAAGCAGAGTGGAGGAGGTGATTTCAATTTTCAACCAAAAAAAAAAAAAAAAAAATCTTCAGTTTAACATGAGGATGCTGAAACTTGCAGAGCTTGTGTATCTATCATAATAATCTATTAATTGTTGAACTTGATAGGACTATAGGAGAGGTGAATTTGATCGGCTTGTTTTTTCTTTTGCTGTATTTGGGCGTTTGAGGGTGATTTTTACATTATATTGATTCAAGTTTTTGAAATGCTGCAGCCCCAAATTTAAATCCTTCATGCCCTTTGGCATGACCTGGGGGAGTGTACTGCATTTCATCGGTGTGTGATTGTTAACTTGAACCTTGGGTCATGTACCCGAGGACTAAACTCGCTTCTTGATATCATCATTCATTCATATATATGTAAGGAACTTTCTTGATTGTGGCTTTCGCATTCTACTCTTGGACCCTTGTGTCATTGACGGAGGTTCGTTTCCTTGAAAACTCAATATTACATGTGTATGTATATAGGGCATGAGCCAGAGGGCAGTTGCTGTCTGGCTGAAGTCAGAAAACTCTTCTTTTCCTTAATGTTGACCGTACTCAGGCAGTTAGGCCATCATGAGTTTTTTGTTATTGTTAGAAAAGTTTACGTGCCGTGCAAGTAAATAAGCCTGAGAGAGGCTGAGATGATGACGCATATCAAATATAACATGGGGCTCGATTTCATTTTCTGCTGGCCTTGTTAACTTTATACTATGTTTAGATACATGTAAATTTAAATTTAGATTTGAGCTTCATTCCTTGTTTGGGCACTTAAAAATTTTATGAATTTAAATTTGGAATATAAATTTTAATCTAATTCCTTCATAATTTGAAATACTTTCTAAATTCATTTTATTTCAAATTTGTTTGCCTTTCTCATCTTTTGTGAATGTGTTCTTGTTTCTTGTTCCTAATTGATCGTTCCCAAAAGGATTTTAAATACATAGATTCAAAATTCAATGTAAGATTTTAAATTTAAATTTACTAATTCAAACACTATCTTAATGTTTTACTATCTCATAAGCTTAAGGCTTTTCAAGAGCCAACCGAATGATGACTTGGCCAAACAATGAAACATCCATGAAAGGCATGAAGACAAACAAAAGCATATACTGATTTGATACTAAAGGTGTGACATTAATTTGCTTGAAATTAATTTTTTGGTGGAACTTAATGCTAGCTGCATGCAACTTATAAAGGTCTTAAATTACATGTTTTTGAAGAATATTTGTAAGTGTTGATGAGTGTCATTTTTTGTTGCGGTGGGGTTAGAAACTGGCGAGGGAAGTTACTGTGAAAGTGAAGTGTGAGCAGAAATGGAATGATTAAAAATCAGGTTGCTTGCACCACAAGCAAACGCATACACTTATGCCTTTATAAATATAATTATCAAACTCTTTGTTTCTCCTTTTCCTCTTCATTTCCCCTGCTCTGACCGTTCAATTTGTACGTTCTTATCTGACGCCCCCTAGCACCACTTGCCATTCAATATTTCGTCTGCCTATGCAATTTATTTTCAACTGGTTTGGTACTTTTTTATTAAAAAACACAGAATTATTTGTAAAAATAAATGCTATTATATTTTTTCAAACTATTTAAATTAAAATTTTATTCTTGTATTTTAAATTAAAATTATTATGAATTTAATTATTAAATATTTTTTTATCTTTATTGTTAAAAATGGGAAAACATTGTTTCTGTGAGGAAGAACTGTTCGAGTAAAAAATATTAAAATTTTAAAAACTGTCTTGGAGAGCAAAATCAATTTTAATATGCTTTGCAGAATTTTAAATCAACCTTGTTATGTTTCTGAGTAAAATTATTAAAATAATATATTTACATATACACATATTTTGATAGAAATAAATATTTAAATACTTTATAAATAAATATGGATTAAAGATCATTTTTCTTCTTAATTTTTTTAAGAAACACTATGCACTCTGTACTGAATATAAGGGCAATATTTCCTTGAAGGATTTTTTCAAGAATAAAATTGTCCTTTCATCATACGCCCATCATCTTCGCCATATCTATTAGGGTGAAATAGTTATGACGTCCCCCACAGTGACAAAAAGACATTTTAACTAATTTTGCCACTATTTTATTATTAATATCAAGCTTGATTTCTATCACTATTATCACCACTTTTAATCTCATTGACCCGCATCAACTGATAAAAATGATTCATAATACATTGTTGTCACTATGTAAGAATCCGGCAATTATTTCACATTAATAAATAATAAAAAAGATGACTTGTTGATGATGGAAGGACAATTTTGTCCCTAAAAAATTGTATAAAGGATATTACACTGTCCTTTAATATAGGGTGTATTCAGTGCTCTTAAAAAAAATTTAAAGAAAAAAATGACTTTGAACCCAATAAATATTTATATATATTAATATTTTTTATTTGTAAATAATACAATAGAGATAAAAAGAATTTAATAATTAAATTGATAGTAAAAAATTAAGGTGTTAATTTAAATAGTTTTGCATCATTGGATTTTAATTTAAATAGTTTGAAAAAAACATAATGGCATTTATTTTTACAAATAATGATGTGTTTATTTTAATAAAAAGGTGCCGAAACCAGTTGAGAATAAATTGTCTACACAGACAGAATACTGAATGGCAGGTGGTGCGCTATGGAGCGTCAGATAAGAACAGATAAATTGAACGGTCAGATCAGGATATGAGGTAAAAAAAAAAAGGAGACACCCTGCGCCTTATTCGAACGGGCAACATTGGTGAGAGCTCTGCCAAAAGCGCTTTTTACCACCAGGACTAACGCCTGTTAATGGCTATTACCTCTCCTTTAGTTTTAGTGCTTCAAATTTGGTTTTCCTTTTAAATTTCAGTTATCCACACTAGCCATTGCTCCAAGACACCGTGGCTCTTACATATTGGCAAACTGAATGCTGTGGCCCAAATGAATCCTTGATAGAATTTTAAATGGGAAGAAATAAAAATGATGATATGATTTTTAAAATTTCATATATAGTAGACTTTTTTTTATATGTTTGTATGAAATAGGCCCGGTAACTTATGAATAATGTGATTTGTTACATTTTTTAAAAAAAAATAATGTGATTGATTATAAATTAAATATTTTACATTGGTTTATTTTCATCATATAGACAGAATGTTGTCTTTCTAACACTCTGACCATGATCTGGGAAATCTTTAATATACTTGAGATTTCATTTTTGACGTGGTGGGGATGGAGACAGGTGAGGGAAGTTACGATGAAAGTGTAGTGTGAGTGCAATGGAGCAATTAAAATTGAGGTTACTTGCACCACAAGCAAGCGCAAACTTCCTCTTTTTATATATATATATATAAATACTGTTCAGGGTTACTTCCTCTTTTTATGTACATATACACACACTATTCAGGTTACTTGCACGACAAGCAAACGAAAATAGTTGTTGCACCTTTACACATATATATACTCACTTCATTTAAAAAATATAAGATAATTTTTTAAAAGTTGAGTATTAAAAAATATAAAAAAAATTAGTATTTAAATTATAATCAATGTGATTTTTTTCAAAGGTTTCTATAATAAAAAATTACTTTTTATTTATTTTAAAATAAACACTATATTAAATAAATATAAATGTTAGTTTAAAAATAATTTATTATTTTATTGATGTGAAATTTGTTTAACTGAAGGGGCATATATTTAGCTATGTAATTGAATCATATTCAAATTTTTTTAGACCCAATTAAAAGTAACTCTTTTAAAAATATTTTTTATATTCACTCATATTTGAAACGTGAGACTTCACCCTAAAGCAGTTATAACCCATTGCACTAGGATTAATGTTGGTTAAAATTCCTGTTAATAGCTATCACATCTCCTTTGGTTTTAGTACCTTGAATTTGGTTTCCCTCTTAAATTTTAAAAAAATTAATTATTTAATTCTTAAAATTTTAACTTAATTGTAAATTAATAATTAAATTTTGACTTGTTGTAACTCATTTATTATAATTCTAATTTTGTTGTAACTCAATTTTTAAATTCTGATTCTTCTAACTTAATTCCTATAATTTTAACTTTTAACTAATTAAAATATTGCTCTCTCTATTTTAAAAAATAAAATTATAAAGGTTAAAATTTAGGACTAATATTTCAAATTATTAAATCCTTTATAAAATTATGAAATAAATTTAATATTTATAATTTTAATTTTTAAAATATAGAAACTAATATTTAAATGGTTAAAATTATAAAAATTGAATCATAAGAGTCAGATCAGAAATTAAGTTACAATCAAATGAAAACTATAAGGATTGAATTACAACGAGTCAAAATTTAAAAAGTAAGTTATAATTAAATTAAAATTATAAAGACTAAATAATTAATTTTTTTCTTGAATTTAAGATATTCACACTAGCCCTTGCTCCAAGACACCACCTCTCTTACATATTGGGCTATTGGCAAATCAAATGCAATGCCCCAAATGAATCGTCAACATAATTTTAAATGGGAAGAAATAAAAATGATAACATGATTTACTCACTCCACCTCAAATTTTAAGATAACTTTAGAAGAATTTTATCATTTCAAAATATAAAATAACTTGAGAAAAATAAAATTTTATCAATGGTACTTTTTCAATATTACTTTTCAAGTGAAGAAAAAATTGAAATAATATTATGATATAATGATTAAGTGTGTAGAGAGATTTTTAAAAGTTTATAGATTTGTTTTGAAAAAAGTAAATTTATAAAATATTATTATTATGTTTTATTAGTATGTGTAATTTTACCTTAATTTGCCTTATAATATGGAATTGATGGAATATAAGATTTCATATACAGTAGACATTTTTTATATGTTTGAATGAAATAAACTTTATAACTTGTGAAGAATGTGATTTGTTGTTAAAAAAATAATGTGATTGGTTATAAATTAAATATTTTGCATTGGTTTATTTTCATCATATAGAAGGAGTGTTGTCTACCTAACATTGTAACCATCAACAGCAAAATACAATGATCCTATTTAAAAATATGTTCTAGGAATAGTCTTCTGTGTTTTTTTAAAACAAGAGAACAAAAAAAATTATTTAATAACATATTTTTTAAAATGTTTTAAAAAATAAAAAATTAAAATATTTTTCTAAAAAATAAAAAATAAAAATAAATTTTAAGTGTTTTGAAATTATTATTTTAAAGAGCAAGAGAAAATGAAAAAAAATACTTATTGTCATTATTTTTTTTATTTTCATAACATGTTTTACAAAATACTAATTCTTATAACAATAATATATAAATAGTTTTAAATAGTCCCTATAATTCTAACAAATTTCTTACCATCCAATAAAATCAAGTGGAACATGAGGAAGAGACATTAAAAAAAAAAAACCCAATCATGTAATGACC